GTGAAAATTGTTCTAGCTGTTGCAGAGATTAGCCGGAACAAATATACAGACAGAAAAACTTGTAAAAAATGGTTTTTTGGTATATGTACCGTGTATACATCATCCATATGCATTTAGTAAAAAGCGGTTAGTTTAATATTACAAACAGACACTTTTATTTATCTGAATGAATAGGAGATGCGTTATAATTGGGAATTGGCATGAATAAAGATTTTCAAGTTTTAATTTGAGAGCAACACGAAAATAAGGATGATAACCTGAATCGGGAAATAAAATGATATTAATAGTTTATTTTGCCCAACTGCGGCGCAGCTAAAAAGGGCTGTTAAATAAAAAAAAACATGCAAAGTAATTTAGAACCTCCACTAAAATTATAAAGAGGAAGTCGGCGGATTTTGGCGCCAAAATGTAACACGTAGGCATATGTTCTAAAATTTTTTTTCATACAATTATTGAATCGTTAATAAAGTTAAATAAAAACTCATACGCAATTTACTTATATAATTTTACTTATATGAATATTAAGAATTTGATTTTATTCTACGAAGTAGCGAATGAAAATTTGAATTGGGATCAAATATTGTCATTTTTATTCGCATTTTAGGAACGCGTCATGTGCTCTATACAGCATTGAATAAACAAAATTTCAACTTGCATCTGACATTAGTTAAATAAGCCAATGCTGAGTAAATATTTGTCGGTCGTGATGATCGGATAAACTTAAGCCACTGCTGATACCATCGGAATGGGAAACAATCCGATGGAATACCTAGTAAGGGTATAAGGCGTACGATTCACAAGGTGATAATCTGCAACAAATTGTACTACCACAGTAGAATCCGTTTATTATGACATCGAAAGGAATTGAAAAACACGTCATAATAAGCGGACGTCATAGAAACCGTTTTCTGAAAAAATAACCTTTTTATGTAAATATGCACTTAGTAGAGAAACATAGTATATATAAATACATATTAAATCAAAATAACAATTGCACGTAATGCAGTACATACATATTTTTTAATGTAGGTAATCTGTAATTTTTGACTGCTTTTTTTTTTTCATTTTATTGTAAAAATAGTCCCTAATAATACTGTGTATAGAAGACATCGCCATGGTCAAATTATCATTTTCAATATTGCTATGCACAAATCGAGCTAATAGTTCTGCAGCGAGGGATGAGTTTGATTCTCCATTTTCTAATCTGCATATTATTGCACCTTTCTCCTCAATCGTAAATGCTTCACGGCGTTTAGATGACATTTTTTTTCACAGTACATACATACAATGAAAAACACAAACGACACACGAAAAACAATGCGTGACCTTTAAGTGTCAATTACTCACTGAGATTCAAAACAAAAACTAGCCACGTGCCGAACGTCGTCGGGAATCAACGAACATTATCGAAGGTGTAAAGAACTATGTCGGTCATTATAACCGGACATAATTTATTAAAAATGCGACATGTCACTGTAAGAGAAGTCATTACATCCGACTTTTATAAAGAATTTTATATGAAAACCAAACTTCGTAGTGTAATTATAAGTCATATTAAACGGTTGGTCAATATAGGCGGAGTCATAATAAACGGATTCTACTGTATATTAAAAGCTTACTGGCAGATAATCCATAAAAAAAAGTAATAAGTATATTCTATATTAAAATTTTCAAAAAGTCTGTATATTCATATCCCTTTCCATTCACGCATTAGAGTATGATTCATATTTTTTTAATTCATGCCTGCCATCCAATTGTGCGCCATCGGCGCGACAGGGTCAACCGGTCCGAGGTTAGACCCCAATTCCCGGCACAAAGGGGGTTGGCAGGTCGTAGGTCGGCCTAATTGCACCCAATCAGCCGGCAGGAAGACTGCATTAAAGCGGCACTCGCTATAGCTTCGCAGACGGCGTGAGTCAGTGGTATACCCCTATTATCCAGAAGGGTGGGCAGGGAAGTTCATTTTCATTAAGCCTGTTAGAGTCCACTGCTGAAGATAGGCCACAGACTGCCACGAAGAACCATCCTGAGCTACCTGCATTCATCGATTTCCCGCACATTTGCGAAGGTCGTCACTCCATCTGATGGGGTTGGTCCTACACTGCGGTGTATGAGACCGGCCTTTCACGCCCCTTCACGCCGGTCTTCTGTGAGGTCGTGGCACTTCACCGGACGGACATGCCCATTAGTGCAACAGCGAAGACTGCCACGTTTCCCTATCACAGTATTAATATAATAGGTCCGATATTAAAATTGCTACCTGAAAAAATTTTACCACATGGATGGGATGGCGAATAGAATTTCGATATAGCTTCGTCTTACTATTATTCGAATAATACTTGAAAGGAAATTTAGTTTCGAAGTTGTAGAATATAGACTATATTTAAATACTGAGAAAGAATTCTCCTACCCAATATTAGTAGTTCCCAGTATAATCACAGTAAAAAAGGTAAATAGAATTATACATACAAAGTACTTATTATACATGTAAAGTAGACCGTCAATAGTTATTTTCCGCAGAAAATAGTCGTAGAGCGTTGCTGGATTTATTGCACCAGCTTTCTTCAACAACGGCCCGAGCGTTCGACAAATGTAGATTGAGAAAGACGCCAAACAGTCCTCTGTAAACACACCTCGGAACATTTCTACCTGCGCCCAGCATTGTGGCGAATGCAAAAATGCAGGTACGCGACAATCTCTTTATTTACAACGGACTCGATCGGCTCAATGGCGTCGCTTTTGTGCGGTCAAATTTGGCGGGAGACACACCGTACGGATCCGATGCTCGGCGGCCATATTGGAATTTCGAAACGTCGATAAACCCACATTTCTAACGCTTTAAGTTAATTCACCAGAAGTTATTCACACATAAATTAACGAAGATGAACTTATTGATACCGCCGAACGGGAAGTCTAAATGATTCTGTGATCGCATAGAGTACACAGCACCTGAACGATACATTCGCAATGTCACGACAAATATCCGAGCGACAGATTCTCCCAGCAGATCGCAGTTGGTATTAATATGCATATATTGCTTTATTTTTTTATGTGAGAAGATGGCAAGCGAGCTGTCGGTTCACCCGGTGTTAAGTGATAGCCACCGCCTATGGACATTTGCAACACCCGTGGGGTTGCAGTTGCGTTACCATATTTTAATAAAGTGGGCTCCGGCTATCGCACTCACCAGGCGAAACTGCGATGTTATGAGGCAGCTACTCAAGAACGCAAAAGTGTAACACTTCCACGTCACGCCGGTCTTCTGTGAGGTTGTGGTACTTCGGACGGACCTGCCCATTCGTGCAACAGCGAAGACTGTTGCGTGGCCCTACCACAGTTATTATTAGACAAACAACAGCGGTTAACATTAACACATGTTGCTGGGCTGTTGCATGGCCTGATATAAAATACCTTGATGGTTTTAAGAAATTTGTACTTCGAAACTGGCTCTCCAGATAGATAAGCCCACGAGATGTGAGTATATTTGCGAGGCTTACGACCGATGAGGCATCGCAATGGCCTGATCGTGAGCGAAGACACCGTGCCATAAAGAGAAGGATGATACTCCATTAAAATAGTGATTACAAAGCTCTGTGTTTGTGCGTTTACCAAGTAATGTTACAAACTGTATATTTTTATAGATAAATGAACAAAAACGTCCGGATCGAACCGGCGTCTTGCTGTTTCGTGTCCAAAGTATATCGAATAAGCTAAGCGGCCGATGACCTCAGGGCGTGAAAATAATGATATCTATTTCAATTCCTTCTATTGCATTATAACAATGCTTGGCGCCATCTAGTGTGCATCCTTTACAGCATGCAGCACCTTACAAACAATAGTATAGTAATACTTTATACACTGTGCCACTAAAGTTGTAACATATTCTGTGATCAATAAGCAAGTTTCACATTCGTTATGTAGGCATAACGGTCCGTTTTTAATTGATACGTAAATCTTACCGGTCTTCATTAATTCTTTATTCGTACGGGTTTTTCAAGATGAATTCGTATAAACCATCTAATTTATTGGCTTACCTGTGTTCTTAACTTAACTGGTAAATTGCTTACAACAGAGTCGTTATACGAGTCTGCAAAATAATTATACTTCTAACACCATTCATTTATTTTCAAGGTGGACTATTAACAAAGGAAATTGACTTTGTAAATGTAACCGCTTTACGGATTTTATTGCGTTTAAACTAAAGAAACAGCTTAGATATGTCCCACTGCTGGGCAAAGGCCTCTGTACCGAGGGTCCTAGGGCATAGTCCACTATGCGAGCCCATTGGCGGCAGAGTTCACATATTTTCGATATATTTTATTTAAATCAACAATGTCATTGGTGCCGGCACAACCTACATTGCTCGTACATATTGAATACACTTTGCACGGGATAATTCAGCACTTAAAATTAATTTCATTAGTGCCGGCACCGCGGATCGAACTCAGGTTGCTCGAGTATATGGAATTAAAGGCGAGCGCCCGGACACTGAGCTATCACGGCTCATACCTATAATACACCTATAGTCACACCTATAATTCGAAGTTATTTAATTAAACCGATATAAACTGCATTTAATGTCGTTTTCACAAACGAATAGAGTACTGGCACATGGGATAAAATTTATAGCTATTTTTCTTTTGTTACGCTAAAGTATAACTTCATATTTGCGTACATAAGTGCACACCTACTTTTTTTAAATTCACGACATTAGTGTCCATTAAAGCCAGTTGTTTTACATCCTTATGCCATACCCGGGCCACCGTCAACTGTCTGTTCATTTACTTTGTTCCAATCTAATCATAATAACACATTGCCAACATGCTGCCATTGCCTTCCGATGACGTCATATGAGGCGGATGAAATACTGACTGTACACAGTCAGTAAACCTACACGTAAACCGTGTAACTTCAGAGGCGTTCAAGCCCACTTTTCTGGACTTCTTGATCTCGTTCGCTTTCAACGGTGCACTGTTCCTGCCGAAACTACTCAGTCGTCAACCGAAAAGCACCTTTAACGCCCACGCATTAAGGTTTAGAGACGCGTAAACATGCCGCAGGGCAGAGACACTACGAGATGTTGTATCGATGCTCACAACCGTGCCTTTGTGATGGCGACCAGACGCCGTTGAGACGCCGCGTCCCGCGCAGCCGATGCACCAGCGCTCGCGGGAAGGGTTTTCAGCCCGCGCCCCGGGGCTCAAGCGGGCTGGTCCCGCCGAGGTCGAACGATGGCACTCCTCAGTGACACTCTGTAGTCGGATAGAGGAGCGTTCAGAACGCCATCGGCTTTGTGCTCTGTGCTTCTTTTTTGCGATGAAGCCGCGATTGTGGAGCGCGGCTATTTTTACGGGCTTTGTGAATGGCGCGACTGTTGGCGGCCGACAGTGGGCAGCCGAAACGCCGATTGGCCAGGGCTTTATGGGCGTTCGGTGACGTCACGGTATAGACAACTCGGAGTCTCGGACTCGCGAATGATGCTTCTGACGGACGTTTGCGGTCGCCTCGATTACGGATTCTGTTAAACTAAGAGAGGCATAATATCTCATTGTTTTTTATGGGAGAAAATGGCAAACGAGCTAGCGGTTCACTTGATGTTAAGTGATAATCGCGGCCCACGGACACTTGCAACACTGGTTGCAAATGTGTTGCCACCTTTTATTAATGTGGGCCCCGGCAACCTCACTGACCAGGCGAAACGCAAAAGTGGAACACTTCTACTTTACGCCGATCTTCTGTGAGGTCGTGGTACTAACCCGGATGCACTTGCCCATTTGTGCAACAGCGAATACTATTGCGTGGTCCTACCACAGTGCGGACGCTAGCTTTTAATTCGATATACTCGAGCAACCCGAGTTCGATCCCCGGTACCAGCCAGCACTTCACTTTCTCAGCGGCGAAGGAAACCTACATATTTTCTAATAATAACTAAAAAATATTTCGGAAGATATATTTTGTAGTCCGCCAATCCCCAGTGGGGTCGTACGGCATTCACTGTAGAATAACATTGTATTGTATAGTCGCGTTTCAGTAGGGTATAGTAAAAGGTTAGTCCTAAGCGTCTCGATTCGAATACGATAGACAATGAATAATTATGGTTACGTTAACATTGTCTGGTTTACTATAAAATACTAATTACGGGATAGATTTTACGGGCCGCCAAAATCGCCGAAGCGAGAACATTCGTTACAACTGAACCGGGGAATAAATCCGAAGAACCTTTGCCCTGGCATCGGCCAAGTGCGATGCCAAAGGATCGTGCCTCCGCAGACCCACCCGCCCAGAAATAGTGTCGCAATTGTTTTTTTTTTAAATCCCTTCCAGCTCTTTTCCGCTACACGTTCGGAATTGCGGAACGGGATAATTGAAATTCCAGCCAGTGTTAAACTCCGAATGCGCTATTTTTTTCTTTTTTGACGGCAGACCGGACATTCCGGCGCATCCTCTCGCCTTCGAAGGACGTCGCCAACTGTGGGACAGCTAAACTCGTTATAAGGACTGTTTGGATACCAAAACAAACTGCCTCGCGTCGAAACCGTTCGCGGTTCACTTTGAGATGTGCCCGAGTATACTTTGGGTTGCGTAAATGCTTTAATAGTAAATGCAAATTCCCCAATTCTTTAAATAGATACAACTGAAGAGAACGCTAGGTGCAGTAGCCTACTAAAAGAAAATTAACATTACGTTAAATTGAACACTAAATCATTGGAATATTAAAAACCTATTTTTCATAACATAACAAAATTCTTTAAACTCTCGATTGCGATTATTAGCACGTAATTATGAGACGTTAATTAATATGTCAGTTAAAGTTACTTATGTGTTGATTATATGGTGTAGTTAAAAATAATTAAATTTATGGGGAAAAATGAAAATCACAAAGAATTATGGCAAACGGTTAGAAACTAATAAGACAAATAAATAAATAATTTTATTATTGATATTATGTATATTACAATTAAGAGCCGTTATAGCTCGGTGGCAGCTCGGCACGGCTCGCTTTTAATACATTATAGTCGTGCATCCAGACTTCAATTCCGGGTATCAGTATCGATGAAATGATTAACTTTAAGGGCTGACTTATCACGTGCAAAGCGGTGAAGGAAACATCGTGAGGAAACCTGCAAATTTTCGAAATAAATACAAAAGAAAATATTACAAAGATATGTAGCTGTTGTTCTTGAACCGTCAGCTTACATAAAAACATGTGAAGTTTGCCAATACGCAGTGGGGTCGCATAACGGCCTTTGCAAAGCACGGAGACATGTGTATGGCGATACCCTTTTTTTCAAAAATACTAAGACTTAACATCGCCAAGACTAGGGACTATAAAAAATAAGGCAAACCATCCAAGCTTCTATCAAGCGGCCTCCAAATCTCGATTGGTGGACTATCGGCGCACGTCAGCCGATTTGTTACGAGTGCGCGCGACGTTTCGTAATTGGGGCCTGTCAGTTGCGATAATGGTGACACATGGTGCCAAATACGTAGGCGACGACAGGTCAAGTTGATCGTAGGAAAGGGCAAACGAATCTACGCAGTGGCGAAAATATCCACGATACAACGCGTTTACGCTGTGCGTTCTTTGAACGCGAGGCAAAGGTACGAAGGTCTAACTTCGTCTTCTATGAGGTCACGGTTGTTCCCCGGGTGATACTGTCAACAACGCTGCTACAGATGTCAATCAACAAGTTTCACGGGAACTGTTGAATATGTCACTAGTTTAACAAAGGCAAAGAATTTCCTTCCAGCCGGGGTAAAGTTTTTATTATGTGAAAATTTGTCAAGCTAGCAGGTTCACCTTATGTTAAATGAATACCACCGCCCATAGACATCTACATAGCCTGATGCGTTTACAAAGGTTGCTTTCAAAAAGTGGGCCCCGGTTACTTCACTCGCCAGAAGAAACGGGAAACTTTATTTCTTTCTTTGCACTCCGGTCTCCTGTAAGGCCGCGATACCTCCCATGTCACTAATAATTGAACAAAGGCAAATACTTACCATCCTGGTAAGTAATGTGTTAAACACTCATGCAACAATTGTATCATCCCGGCTTATTAATCCGTACAACTGAATTCCATGTATGTTGGCATAAAATCAAATTAACGTGTACAGTTTTCGTAGCGGCGTTCACACAAACTAAGGAAGTCTACTTCGAGGAGAGACCTCATTTCTTGAAGGCCAGCAAAGCATCTGACTAGCGTACAATCGATGGGCGCACGATCGCTCGCCACGGGTGGACTGGTCGGTATCCACGAAAATTACCACAGACCCATAAACGAGACGTTACACGAGAGGTATATTTAAAACAACCAGATGCGATCTGGACGGACCGCGTCAAACGAAGGGGCGGACGCGTCTAAAAGTTCCCAAGAAACTCGTTGCAGTCTCGAGACGATATCAAGCCATCGGACGTGAGTCATGTCGGTTTGACGGCAATAAAGACCTTCTGGGAACACCGAATAAAAGCGAACGTGACTCTAAAGCTGCACTAATAAAACATCCGAGCGACGCTAACATGTAATTGGGAATCTAGATGGAGATATCTCATTTAAAACGTAGCTCCGCGAGCATTCAACAGCGTGTAGTCACTTTAGTTACCATTAAATTTGCTTATTTCTTATTCAGTCCTAGTTAATATTTTTGTGGTAGGGCCACGCAACGGCTTCCGCTGTTGCAAGAATGGACAGGCTGGTCCGCGTAAGTACCACGAACTCACAGAAGACCGGCGTGAAGCGGAAGAGTCATACCTCTGCGTTTCGTCTGGTGCGTGAGGTAGTCGGGGCCAACTTTATTAAAAGTAGGCAACGGCATCTGCAAACATACGGACGTTGCTAATGTCCTTCGGCGGCGGTTATCACTTAACATCAGGTGACTCGCCACTTTCTCACAAAAAACTGTCCTAAATGAGTCAGTGGCACAGTTGTTTAGTCATTAGCTTCGTCGGTAGTCGTGTCTTCGATTTCGACACTGGACAAGTATTGTGTGATCGCTGACGTGAGGCAGGCGGCCTTACTTGAATCTCATAGACAAATTTAATGCCATCGACATCCTTAAGTACGTCTCTGAGTGCGTCGATTACACCAACCACGGAATCGCTGGGGGCCAGTTGCTCCGTACTCTGTTAGTTTATTAAACGAGTTCTTATATTAACAGACTGTTAAAGGAAATGCTTGGACCCATGCGCCAAGAGATGATCAATTTTCTAATTTAAACCTAATATACAGGTATATTAGACTTTTAAAAACTTGAATATTATCCAAATCCTATTTGAGTCGATTAGAATGAACAATATATTTAATGCGACAGGGTTAATGCGAATAAATTATGATACAGATTTGAAAACATTATGTAAAAAAAAACAACGACATTTTCTTTTGGTCGTTTTATAATTTGGGTGAATATTTTAATAATCGTACGGTTAATTTCAATATGTGTTATACTTTTGCCGTAGAACGTGTTATTAAAAGCGCTGTTAGCTTTAAAGATTGATTAGCTAGGGGCAACCGATTCTACGATAGATCTGTGCATATTAAACTTTTCGTCCGACAAACGACGTTAAGAATGTGCATTCGAAAATGGAATCGATACGGCGTCGTGTACACAGATAATAAATCATTAACGGAAGACGTCATTCGTAATGGCGGGAAATGTGCCGCCGCGGTGGTTTTTAAAAATTTAAAGCGGCCATTACGGGCGGGCGGCACGGCCTGTCCGCTAAATAATCTATGACCAATTTCACGATTAAATATTCCCAGTATACATTATGTGCCTTGAAACGAGTAGGCGGGTTTCCCTTTGTGTTAAGTTAGCTCGCGACTGTTTCATTCGAGCGGAATCGTTTTCGTTTTTTGAGGTTAAGTTGTCGATGGCGGGCCCGATTGAAAGTTGCCTTACTAGTTGGCGGGCCTGGAGATGATTTCGTGAGTGGCTTCCGTGAATAAAATTTAATGGGACGGTTACATCATTAAAACAAAAATGGTTGTCAGTATCTGCTTACCATAAGCACTACACAAGCCAGTTTTTAATTTAAAAAAAGATAATATACATATTTTTCTTCTTATATTCTTTAGCAAGAATGTCTTCTTTAGCAGGAATGGGCGTCCTCTTGTGAGGATTTGTGATCTATGCAACATTTGTAGTTTGGGGTGTATATTCGCCGACAACCCAATTCATAAAAAGGTCAACAAATTAAAATTGAGACAACTCCCGTAGCATATTAAGCAGTCATTTATTCAAAGCCATAAAGTACAATGATACTCAGCACAACCATACACAATTGTCTATTGTTCAGATTGAACCCCCAACCCAGCGCAGTTGGCAAGTGCTCACCTCAACCGTTGCTTCATCCAGTCTAACCAAATGTGTTTATAATCGCAGTCTTCAAAGATGAACACGAACGTCATAACCGTATGAACATTACCACGGCTCTACTTTTCGCTGTAATGGAACGGCCTATGGCATTTTCTACGGAACCTCATCGTAAATACGTTACAACTTAAAAGGGCCCTTCCAGGAAGCCCGCAGATTAAGCGCACCAATTTGTATACAAAGAAATTTCGTGTTCATTACAGTCGCCCGTTATTATTTACGGGTTTGCTTTTTTATTTTTATGTGAGAATGTGGCAAGCGATCTGGCGGTTCACCCGATGTTAAGTCATAACCACGCCCATGGACATTTGCAACACGCGTAGGGTTGCAGATGCGTTGCCACCTTAACATAAAGTGGGCACCGGTTATCTCACCAGACGAAACGCAAAAGTGTTTACACTGCCACCCCACGCCGGTCGTGTGCTAGGTCGTTCTATTTCCCCGAACGGGCCTGCCCATTCGTGCAACAGCGAAGACTGTAGTGTGGACCTACAGTTAGTTAGTCTGCTTATTTTGTGACGTATTCTTATTACATTTCTTTCTTTGCAAATTTTAAAAACCGGCCAAGTGCGAGTCGGACTCGCGTACGAAGGGTTCCGTGCTATTTATAAAAAAGGGGTAAATATCATGTCTGTTGTATGGGAGCCCCGTTTAAATATATTTATACTGTTGTATAGTATTTGTTATTAAAGCGGCAACAGAAATAAGTCATCTACGAAAATTTAAACTGTCACGGTTCTTGAGATGCCTGGTGACAGACAGCGGAATCTTAGTAATAGGGTACCCCGTTTTACCCTTTGGCTACGGAACCCTAAGAATCACTATCATTATACATCTATTATTTTGAACGAGCTCTCTAGTGTACCATGGTCGAATGCCGATTACATTAAAATGGGATTCACTTCAAAATATCCCCTTTGCAACAATGAAAGAATTTTTCAAGTCGGCTAACAAATGACGGAGATCCGAGGTAACGAACAGAAACAATGCAACCGAACTGAAAACCTCCTTTTTGTAGTCGGTTAATAAGACTCTTTATAATCGACCAACGATTCATAAAAAAGTGCTTAATTTAAAGGACGTTGTAAAACGATATTCGAAATTGTTTTTATGCTGGAAAGGATATAACAATGGATGCGACAAGCATTATATTCTTTATTCAACAATTTCTGTCTGTACCGAGCACAGAGACCTCAGTTATCACTTATATTAAATTTGTTTAATTCAGAGTATAATTTGGTTGAGGCACTAAGAACGCGGGTGCTTTGTCGAGTTATATTGAAGAGTTAAATCCTTTGTAAAAATCCGGTATTGACGTTTAATATTTGCCTATGAAGATTTTCAAAGATCATAAAATAGGATCGTTTAGTTTTACAATACTAGAGCTACTTTATTGCCGGTCACAAAGGATAAAACAATGAATGACTAGCGGACACTTGTCCGTCTAAGAGACCGTCGAAATTTATCGGGATAGCGGCCGATGAGACTGGCCTAGAAATTAGTCAAGTACATTTTCATTAACAAAAAAAGAAGCTTAACAAAAGACTTTTATGTGAGAATGTGGCAAGCGATCTGGCGGGTTCACCTGATGTTAAGTGATAACCACGCCCATGGACATTTGCAACACGCGTAGGTTTGCAGATACGTTTCCATCTTCTAATAAAGTGGGCCCCGGCTACCTCACAGATCAGACCAAACGCAGAAGTATTATTATAGTTCCACTTTACGCCGATCTTCTGCGACCTGCTCATTCGTGTAATGCTGGTGCGTGGCCCTGCAACATTTGTTCAAATATCTCGACATACCACAGACTTCAAATATCTATCTCACTATATATTTTCCATTCGATTTTGAGGAGTTCCCGGATGTATCTCCGGGGTCCAAGGTCCAAATACTAATAAAATTAATATGGGACCATAACAGCTAATCCAAACGGAATGCAAATAAAATATTTTGAAATCGGTCCATAAATGACGAAGTTGTGACGTAACAAACATTAAAAAAATACAACCGAATTGAGAGGAACCTTCACCTTTGCTAAAACTATAGTGGACTGCAGAAAGGTAGAGATAAAGAATACTTCAGAGAATATATTACTTCTTCACTTCACTTCCATCTTACATCCTTCACTTTTTTTTTTTGTTTTTTTCCTATGTTTACATTTATTTTAAGTTTTTCTAATATTATTTTACATATTGTGTAGTTACATTATTATTTTTAAGTGTTGTATGAATCTATTGTGCTTAGACCGTGAATAAACGTTTCTTCTTCTTCTTCTATACGAAAATATATTTTCACTGTTATATATATAGATGCATACAAATGAAATATTACATTTGAGCGTACTTAATATTTCTCCAACGGTTCGCTGACGCGTAGTCAAGTATACTATACTCGTGTATTATGGTGTGGTTGGCAACCCTAGCCAAAGCCGGCACAGCCTAACCGGTTCCAGCGGCAATCGCGTACTGTATGAAGTTATTATCGCCAAAATCACTCAATTATACACGACAATAAAACTTAATACAGATAATGTGTACAGCTGAACCAGGAAAGGAATGGTTTTCAACAATAAACACGATACAATTAACCAGCACGTATGGACCGCAATTTAATCTAACCAATTTAATTCACAGAAACGTAACCTCATAAATGCGAAAGCGTTTGCGATTCCCCAACCTGCTGTAAGTCAAATTATTGTATGTCATCGACTGATAATAGCATAATTAAGCGTGAATATTAACAGTTTTGAAAATAATCACAAACAAAACTACGGGTAAAGCTTATATAAAAGTAAAAAGTAAAGTAACAGCCTATACATGTCCCGCTGCTGGGTAAAGGCCTCCTCTATACAGAGGGTATCAGGGCATAGTCCACCACGCGGCCCCACCGCGGATTGTCGGACTTCACATATTTTCGAAATATATATATTTTTTTGTTATTATTTCGAAAATATGCAGGTTTCCTCACGATGTTTTCCTTCACCGCGGAGCATGTGATAAGTCAGCACTTAAAGTTAAAAACTTCATTGGTGCCGGCACCGGGGATCGAACTCAGGTTGCTCGAGTATATTGAATTAAAGGCGAGCGCCCGGACACTGAGCTATCACGGCTCTTATTAATTATAAGCTTATATGGTGTGTAAGAAATGTTTTGTGGATGTTTTCAATATGGAAATACGCAATGGGATTGCGTTAACTACGCTCTTATAATGTATCCAGTGCCCAGCATTGGGACATATAAACACACAGACGCAACTTTAATTTTTTCTAAAACATACTATTTACTTTAACATTTTCAAGTTAACTTCGGTTCTTGCCAAAATACTAATTGTGTTAACGACATTAAGCATTGACTGCGTCTATACTGATTAAAGTAGTCGCTTATAAGGGCGTAGTGTATGAATAAGCTTCTATTAACTCGACCTTTATATACGTATGACCTATCCAATTAAAGTTGCAACCGCTTCCAGACATCGACACCTTAATTAGCGTTGACTGTTCAAACTTGTAGTAGTATTTTCTCCACTGTTGTCATATATGCGTTATGTATATTATATTAACAGCATTTCTTACGAACGTGAGTTTTTTTTTAATTCAATCTTTTTCATTTAAAAAGGGTAGGATTGGAGACTATAAACAAAGTTTTGTTCTTTATCCACCATATACATTAAATATTTTGCAGTGTTGTTTATGTTTATTCTTGTCATGTGCGCACTTTATTTAACGTTAATCTGTTCCCCTATATACTATCATATATCTTATCTAGCGAGTGTCGTAATATTTGCTGTATTCAATTAAACATCAACGGGCACTAGGAGAATTAATGCTAGCAAATGAATTTACCATTCACGTAATGTCAGCCTTAATCATAGAACAAGGTGTTAACATTCTACGAAATCTAAGTGCATGGAGAGCCTCGAAACATTTGAATAAAGCAATTTACATTCACAATTCATTATAACCTATAGTGCCTCTGTAAGTGTTTTATACCGTAGTTTAGCTGTCATTAATGAAAGAACATGTAATAGTACTCAAAAACATGATCATATTAATTCGGGTGAGTCAACGGGTGACGTGAATTGGCATCGGGGTAGTGCCGACCAGAGTCGCGTTGTGATTCACGTCTGCAGTCGTTGAGAACTTCCCCGCCCCAGAGTTGGAAAGCGGCCAGAGTGCGCCGAGCAAGAGCGCGGCGGCAAAGGCACCAAGAGGCAACGCATCCCACGCCGCGCCGCGCCCAATTAACATTCGCCCATCCGCGGACGTTAGCCCGCAGAGTCCGCTTGTGTAACCCCGCGCCCGTAACGGGACATCCGGTTATGGTAATCGCAGCCGAATTTCACGCGCCTCCTCCGCGCCGCACCAAACCAGATCCGGCTAATTGCCGCAGCCCGCGAGGATCGATCGTCCGATACGCCGCCGTCCGGGGGCCCTTATCTCGGCCGATGCATGAATAATTCCCGAGAGGAGCCGCCGCTATCGATCCGCACACGTCGTTTTTATTTATACGGCGCGGCGCGCGGCGCGGGTGGGCGAGGCGCGTATTAGTAAACAGGCGCCTGCGCGCACACTCACCGACTTGTAGCACGCTCTCCACGCACCCGGCCTCTAGCAGCTTGAGGCCGCGGCAGAACGCGATGTTGCGGTGGTCGTCGGGCGGCGCCCGCGCCAGCGACGAGTACATGCATATGTCGCGCTCGTCCCGCGGGAACGACCAGTACACGACGCGCCGCTGCACCGGCTCCGGTATGCGCTCGTAGCGCTCCTCTATACGCTGGAAGGGGATCGCGGCGGCGACTATCTTCGCGGTGATGTCGAGCAGGGTCGGCGGGGCGCGCGGCCGACAGCAGGCGCGCGGCGCGCACGCGGACATGGCGCTCGCTCGGCCGCTCGGCGCGGACTGACGTGCGGCGTCCGCCCGCCGCCCGCCCCCCCTCCGTGCCGCTGCGGCTCCCCCCGCCACCCGGTTGAGGATGCGCGCCCCGAATCGACACGCTGCTATAAATTATTCATTTGGCGGGCATAATGTGCGATGTATTATTAAAAGTTGGCATTTTTATTTCATACTCCGTTGGCGCCCGTATCGATTCAGGAGTCGGATCCACTCGATTGTCATTTATTTATCGCGTTTCTCTGCACCAACCCACGCCGATTTCCGATGGGTATATGATTGCATTTATAAATTTTTGAAAGCAGCGAAGCAGTTGCGCAAGTTTCGTAATCCTCGTACTTTATAATACCTATATATACCTTGTGATTATTATGATAAGCGATATAATAAATAATACAATACTGTTATTATTATAACAAGGCCGTCTACGAAATCGGAGTTGGCAATAGCCGTAAGAAACATAAAAAATTATGAGCAAAAAATGGACGTACCTAATCCATTCGTGCCTCGCCTCCTCGCATTACACAAACGAAGGGGAAAGGCCGGGGAGCGGGGCGCGGGGGCACATTAACAGCTGACGGCAGGGGCGCGGTGGGACGCGGAGGGGCACAGTGGGGCGCGGTGCACGTCAGGTGTCGAGCAGCTCAGCTGAGATTCACCGAGACAGCGCTTAAGCCGCTGAACGCGTGCAACGTGCATTGACCTTTATTTGTTTATATTTTTTTGACTCATTTTGTCTCGAAAGCACAGGTAGATAATATTGTTACATTGTTAGGTGTATGTGCAGGTAAAAATTTTCTGTTGAGAGCTGTAACAGGCAGAGTACTACGCCTTTAAACATAGCAACATTTAATATTAGGATTATTCTAAATTATTTAAATTTAAACTATAATTATATTTGGATTAAACTATAAGTGCTTTTTACTGTGATGTTTTTTTTTTAATTAGGATTAATCTATAAAAACATGCAGCAAAACCAAGTAATTTGTGGGTAACGTATTAAAAAAATCTGGTTATACTGCTTAGGTCGTTTTTTAGTAGCTCACTTAAAAAAAATCTTCATCAAATCCTTTTATAAGTAATGTAATTATCGTAATGGTTACCATGTAATTACACCGAAAAGCTTTGTTCAATGTTATAAAACTATTTGGAATAACAGAAAAAACTCAATATTTAAGATAAAAAGAATCAAATAACGTCAAAGATCATTTAATTGTGAAGGTTGAATAAAAATAAATTGCCTAAAAAAATGACAGCGGGAGCTAAAAGCGCTGGAAGCGCTGCGAGCTCCGAATATCTATGTCTCGGGCGGAGACCGAGGAAATCCCGACAGTCAATGTATATACCTACTACGATGCTACCTACGTTTCCTTATAGATAATATTATATAGCAAATTACGTGGAAGTCAACAGCTGATCGCTATTAAAAGCGAAATTATTTTTTTTTACTCGCGCAAGCGACATAGCAAATGTTCGTTCATCCGCGGTTCCTTTATAACCTGTGCCTTTGATGCTGGCTCTCAAATAAGTTCCTCGTAATCTCGTAAAAAATAAAGAATATTGTGATTTATTAGCGGGTTTTTTGTCACCTTAAACAACATTGCGCTAATGAATACGGGTTCAAGAGGCAATACGAGTTCACCAAGAAACCGGCTCAGATAGTGCCATCTGGTTTTTACGTTATTTTTCATATCCTCAAAAGTATTATCCGATTAAATGAATCGGTGAACAAAAATAATAAAGCGTAGTAGCCATCGAACTATCAAAATGAACAAAAGTTCTTGAAGTGTGTGAAATTATTGACACATGTACCTAAAGTTATTTACTAAAACATAGATTCTCATGCAAACTATAAGCTTATTAAAAATTATCCCCGCTATTTTGAATACAAGCGCGACAAGTCGCCTATTGCAATGGGTACCAGGTACATATCAATTTCTAATTCTTCTTCTTCTTTTCGTGTCGATGGCAATACCTATTCACACGGTATCGGCCCAAAATTCAGCCACATGAATAGCACTGTCAGCGGCTCTCATCAGGCCCTCCTGCGTGCAGTTGGTTGGGCACGCAGGGCACGACGTCAAATGTTCCATGGTTTGCGGAACAGCACCACATTTGCACTCCAAGCTGGAAACGTCTGAGAATCCCCACCTAAACAGGTTCTCTTTACTTCGGCCAACTTCCGTCCGAAGTCTATTTAGTGGCTTCCGAGTCAGCCATGGCGACTCATGTCCAGGCGTTTCTCGGACAGTGAGACAAAGGGGCTAGGGACATTGACAATTTCTTCACAGCCTGCATTTTTCCTTCTATCGGTCTCTATCGTGAGGAGGGACACACTTCATGAAACTTCTGGGGCTTTTCAGTCTTTGTGCAACGGGATCGTGATTGAACAGTGGATGGCTGGTGTCGCCCAGTACCTTGGTCTATTCGTAAGAGCTTGCCACTGCTCTGCGCACCACCGGGGGAGCTATTCTAGCTCTCGGATACAGCATTTGTACCGGAGTCGGTTTTAGGCAACCTGTAATAATCCGACAGGTCTCGTTTAATGCTGTATCCAGTTTGGAAGGGCTGAACGGCTCCATACAGGACCGGCATGTTCGCCTGCATAGAAGGAAAGTGACACACAGACCAGTGGTTCGATGAACACCAGGAGAAGCTCCCCAATTCGACGCAACCAGAGGTTGTTTTAGGGTGCACCTTCTGCTTGATGTTCTCGTATTTTTTCCTGTACTTTAGTGAGCTATCCAGAAAGACACCCAAATATTTAGGAAAGTCGTCATGTTCAATGGGCATTCCTCGCCATTGGATATTGAGCTTGCCCGCTTCTTTGTTGCGCAGATGAAATACTGCAAGTTTGAGTCTTATTTTATTTATTTTATTATATTTTATTTATTTGGTTTACCAGCAATTGTTACATTTATACATTCATTAGAATTAGTACACAGTATACTTCTATAGCTAAATGCACAATTAATTAAAGGTAAACACCACATGCGAAGTATATCAAGTAGCATCAATAAACTTAACAAAAAGAAATGTGTACAGAATACAATTTAAAAAAAAAAGGTAGTAAAAAAAATTTTTTGTGACTTAATTAAAAATATATATAATGCTATACGAATAATCTACGAAAGGTACTCACAACAGCATGAATGTCAGTAGCGAGTCTTGCTCGGTAACGCAGTGTTTGCTGCTCCCGGCGTAAGCATCGTCTCAACCGCGTACTCAGCCCATAATGGCACCGAAGTCATTACTGTCGAATATCTACTTTGGCTGCTTCGATCAATGATAGCTGGAGGGACTCCAAATCGGGATGAGGCTACGAGCAGCCATACAAGTGTTGCCACATTTCATAATCGAACCGAATGGTGCGGCAGTAGAGCCACGCACAGCCTCGGCTGTTGAACGAATGGCAGGCTCCCCTGTCTATCTGTCCGTCTGTCACCAGGCTATATCTCATGAACCGTGATGGTTAGAAAGTTGAAATTATCACAGATGATGTATTTCTGTTGCCGCAATAACAGCAAATGCTAAAAAACAAAAAATACTAAAGTGCGGCTCCCATAACTCAGATATGATTTTTTTTGCCGTTTTTTATAAATCACGATACGGAACCATTTTTGCATGTTTGGAGTGCACGCGCATGGTGTGAGCATCGGTGGGCGCCAGTGCTAGCTGATCTTTCTTGTTTATTTTAAAAAACATTGCCCTTACTTTAGGATAACTTTATCCTGTGTTGTGAGGACGTTTTACAAACATAAATTTCACGCGGACAAACACCCAGATGCGAAACAACTATCTGTGAGTCACACAAAAAGTCGTCCCGTGTGGGAATCAAACCCACGACCCCCGACGCCGAAGCCAATACCTTGGCCACTGCGCCACGGAGTCATCTTTCGATGGGCCGCTTCCTTCTTGGGCGCCAGGCCACTTGCCGGTCTACTTACGAATGCGCAGCCTCAGACCAGAGCCCGTTACCAACCGGTTCGGCACCTCGCCAGAGCGGTTAGTGCATTTCACCGCATCGAGTATATCGACGGCCGAATTTTCTGTTAAACGTATAAATTTAACTTGCCTTTTTTATGTGCTGGCGGCTCACCTGATGGTAAGTGATAACCGCCATGGACATTTGCCACACTCATACGCCCGGTTCCTGAAACACTTATCATCGTAGATGCTAACTAATCAGCTGTCAAATGGCTTTTCAAATGCCATTTGAGTTGCCAAAAGGATGGTTAAACTATTTGAACTGATCAGAATGATCATTAGGAACATCATTCCGGTCAATTCAGAGAACCATAACAATCGTTTTGGCGACTAAAATGAAATTTGCAAAGCCATTTGACAACTGATTAGTTGACTATGATCAGCGTTTCAGAAACAGGGCGATAGTGTGGTAGATGCTTTGCCACCTTTTAATGAAGTGACCGCGGCTACCTCACTCACCACACGCAGAAGCATAATGAAGAAGAAGAAGAAGAAGAAACGTTTATTTATGGTCTAAGCACAATAGATACATAGAACACTTAAAAATAATAATGTAACTACGCATTATGTAAAATAATATTAGAAAAACTTAAAATAAAAGTAAACATAACAAAAAAATAAAAAAAATAATAACAATAAGTGGAGGTCTGTGTAGCAGCAGCATAAGACCGTGAAACGAACGGGCCTCGGTGAAAGTCGAGATACATTAACAGTACTTCTACATCACGCCGGTCTTCTGTGAGGACGTGGTACTTCCCCGGACGGACCTGCCCTGTGCATCAGCAAACTGATGCGCGTCCCTACCACTGCCTTAACAGTCTGTTCCCGGTTAAGGTCAGCTAACTGTCGGTCAAGAGCTGCGATAGGTTAATGTAGGGCGCGCGCTTTCAACTCAATATACTCGAGCAACCGAGCTCGATTCCCGGTGCCGGCACCAACGAAATTGTTAATTTTAGGAGGTGAGAGAGAGCCGTGATAACTCAGTCTCCGGGCGCTCGCCTTTAATTCAATATACTCGAGCAACCTGAGTTCGATCCCCGGTGCCGGCACCAATGAAGTTTTTAACTTTAAGTGCTGACTTATCACGTGCTCCGCGGTGAAGGAAAACATCGTGAGGAAACCTGCATATTTTCGAAATAATAACAAAAAATATATGTATTTCGAAAATATGTGAAGTCCGCAAATCCGCAGTGGGGCCGCGTGGTGGACTATGCCCTGATACCTTCTGTATGGAGGAGGCCTTTGCCCAGCAGTGGGACATGTATAGGCTGTTACTTTTAGGTGGTGACTTATCACGTTCTCAGCGGTGAAGGGAAACATCGGGATGCCTACATGTTTTCGGAATAATAACAAAAAAAAAAAACATTTCCTAGAAATATGAAGTTCGGCAATCCGCTGTCGGTGTGGCTACCTAATACCCGCCAAAAAAATTCATAGGCTTACTTTACATTACTGCTTAGGTTAATTTTTGGTTTAGGAAACCTATACATGCGCGCTCCAATAGTACGAGAGCTTTTATTTTTATACCTGGATAAAACTTTGAAGTTAGAAGTAACTTAGTTTTATGTAATAAAATTCTTCGTCTACTAATTGCGCGGAGTTCTCACTAACCAAAGGTCTGATCGCTCCATCATTCATAAACGGGCGCATCATCCTTTGGGTGCGGCGGGGGCGCGAGGCCGGAGCAGAGGACGGGGGGAGGGGGTGTTACACTAAAGTACAAACATACATTCCCGTCAAGTCATAATGATTACCTATTTACCTAGTCGTTTGCTGATTGTCTTACGACATAAAATCGATGCCATAGTGCATGCGCAAAAAAGTGAACAAATTCACAAGTTATCTAATGAAAATACTTATATCGAAATCAATAAAATAACTTAAAATAATATAATAACAATTATATCGGTTGTAATTAATTTATTTCTTCTTTACCCAATTAACTTAAAATGTGAAGACATACTTATTGTATTCATAAATATTTCTTCACGTACGTACGTAAGTTAAATTTGACAGAAATTGACAAATATTTTTTACAGATTACAGATTCACAGAGTTTCCACCCAAACGATTCGCAGTTAGCTTAGCTTGCGTGTATGTTGCCCTCGAATGTCTGTAATAATACATAAAATAAGTAAGTGAGAGTCATGGCAAATCAAGTCGAGCACGACAGTTTATAAACCACGACAACAAGTCCATATTTTATTAACGAGAACCAAAACCGTTTTCAAATATCTCGCTCTGTATTCATTTTATAATTGATTTTCAGGAGTTCCCTAAGAATCTCCAGAGCCCAAGATCTAATACCAATGAAATTAATATGGGGCCACATGGGAAACCTTTCAAATAAAAAAAGATTCGTTAAAATCGGCTCACCCAGTCGAAAGGTCTGATCTAACAAACAAAAAAAAATACAGTCGAATTGAAAACCTCCTCCTTTTTTAAAGTCGGTTGAAAAGTGGAAAGACGTACCGCTGAAGAAAGTTAGAAAAGAATTTTGTCTAATTAAGTCCGTTACGTTGCGAAATTGCTAAAATTTTAAAGACATTGAATGATAGTAAGCTTGGAAAAGCCAATCGAAGCCAGGGAATATCCTAGAATCATCCAACATGATGCACTTTCTGGATAAGTATAAGGTTATACGTAAAATTGTTATAAGCTCTCGTATATTATATATATTATACGTAAAATTGTCTAATAATACGTTTGCGAGTAAACTAATATTTTTATATTTAACAAAAACACAGCTTTTAATTAATGGAGCAAGTAAAGATTCGCGTTGTATTTAACCGAAGCATAAACATACGCATGATATTCTTAACAAAATGTTGCTAGGGTAAATTAACCCCTTTACATTCATTTTTGTGACTGTTCTTTGAAATCAGATAATTCAGCGTAAACAAGGCTGTAGTCAAAACCATTTTAAGCCAGCCTCTGCCACGTCTATGGAGTCGGACTATGCAGTAGTAACGAATTAGGTGGCTAAAATAACAAACAATTTGTCTGCCTAAGCTCAACTTGTTATTCAATGTAGTTGCAAAATAAATAAACAGAGACATCCGCGACTTTGTTTTTTATCGTCCTAAGGAGGAATGTTTATTCTACACATCGTATTGCTGCTATATAATGATGTATACTAATCTTTGATTATATATTGTCAAGTACATAATCAAAGATATTAATATTTGAAACTAACATAACATACAAGTACTAACTTGGTTCAGTAATTAATTAAATTGCTGAACCAAGTTTCTAAACATTTTTACTATTGAAAAGCCACGTTATCGCTAAATAACATTTCGTTCAAGTAAATGTGATTTTTTTTCATTCAAATATTTATTTTGCAGGTCAACCCGATGAAAACTATCAAAATTGACGGTTTCCAAGGCGTCGATGACACTTTACAATATAAATTTACATATTACAATTACGTATTAGATTACGATACAGAAGATTTGAGAAAGGAGGGTGGTGGTTTATTTGTCAAAAGCCGGAATTAATAGTGTAGGTATGTAGTTATGTTCCTTCGAATCTCCATTTTGGTTCGAAATTTAAAACGTTAGACATGTTCTGTAAAGCAATGGAAACGGTGTGGTTAGCGGCCGATGACGCGAGAGATATGTAACTTTTTCTCCGGGCATATCGTTAAACTTCCCGCGTCCGCGAATCGATAGCGCGTTCCGAATTTAAACTGTGTGTCCCCCGCCATTTTTGTCGGATCTAATGAACTATTAAACTGCAATTTGGCTGCGCGACGGCGGCTAGATGGCGCTGCGCGCACTTATTGATCGCGCCGAGGCCGAGGGGGCAACTTCTCGGCATCAACTTCTGCCAAGTCACGGAATGTATTGCTAGCTATTGTGGCGAAAAATGAGGGGGGACTCTCGAAATGGGCCAAACGCCTCCCCGGGCGCTTTGACGGCCTGTTCAGATATCGAATCGTGAGTCGTTAGTTCTCGTTTACGATATGATAGAACGCCTGTTATTATTATGAATGAAATTTCGTTGGCCCAACCGTTCGGGGAGGATCACATTCTGTTTCGTAGATATTATCTGCAGTGAACACGTTTTACATTTAAATGAGCAGCGGCAAACATGCTTTAAAGCACAAAAAAAAATTTGCTACACCATTTACTTCAACAATATTTAATGACGTAACATGTCTTGTATTAATTAATATTTTATTTTTCTCATTTTTATTACGGCCGTATAGCTACTAAGATAAGATCACATGGTATTTTCCCCGTGAATTCATAGCAAATAACATTTTTTACTGCTAAATATGTAACTACAGTAATTAATTACAGTGAACTAGTTTTTTTGTACCAGTCAATTTGGGTAAATTGAATTCAAAGTTTGGAATAGATTATCTAGTCTAATTATTAAACTAATTTATCATTCTTGTTAGCCTGGTTTCCTTTCATAGATCAATGAATTAAATTTATAATTATCAATATCTACCTATTGCAATTAATCTTGCCTTTGCAATAAACGTCATCTATTGACTAAATTTATTAACTGTAGGAGAAAAAGTAGAACCATAAGGTTTTGTTATTGACTGTAAGATGTCACTTTTATAAAAATTTCATTCAATGAATATATTTAGAACAGAAGAACAGCATTTATTCTATAAGAATAACAAATTTTATAGTTTAAAATAAATTTTATCAGATTAAATAAATATTTATTAAAGCCGTTTGTTAGAAGTTGCAAATGAAATCAAACAATTTATCAGTCAACTTAATAGTAAAAGGAGACCGGGTTTAGATGGTAGAAGATAGCAGGATCTAGTTTTAATCAAAGAAAAATTAAGCTCAATATAAGCAAAATTTGTAAAGCTTAGTTTTAAATCAGAGTTGTATCCGTCCTGTATAAGAACTCCTTTCTTCATTGCTATTATCCAAACTAGACCCGTGATAGCTCATGTCCGGGCGTTCTTAATTCAGTTTACTCGAACAATCTGTGTTCGATTCTCGGTGCCGGCAACAATGAAATTGTTAATTTTAAGTCCCGACTTATCACGTGCTCAGCGGTCATGGAAAACATCGTGAGGCAACCTGCACAGTTTTGTAATAAAAAGAAAAAAAAATATTTCGAAGATATGTGTAGACCGCCAATCTGCAGTGGGGTCGTGACCCCACAGGTGGAATATGGCCACGTGACAGGTGGAATATGGCCCTAAAACCCTCTGTACAAAGGAGGCATTTGCTCAACAGTGGGAAACATATAGGCTAATACTTTACTTTGCTTCTCTCCAGCTGCGCTTTCGGGCGCCTGGAAATAGGCCATGGCCAGGCCAGCAGCTATCGATTGCTTAAGTAAGATGTACAATTGCATTCTTCGTGTTTAATTCCGTATGAGTATCGCTACCAATATACCAATATATGGAGTGCTCCACCAATGTATGGAGGGCCGTATCAAGTTCGTGGTTTCTGGCTAGACCAGCGTCTGCGTTCTATGAAACTTAAATATCTATTAAAGTTGAATTGAGTGAACGATAGCAAAAACATAAGTTACAGTTAAGTTAAGTATTAATCTTAAGGTAGTTATTGTTATTAACTTCGTAGCGCTCTAATAAGATATGATGTTATTAAATTTTCTCGATGAGTTCACCGTAAATAAATTTTATTAATATTATTCATAGTACGGAAGAATTTGTGGACCAATTATCTTTATATATATAATTCCACTGTACGTGTATATTTATTTATTTTTTTATTTAAAATTTATTGTTTACACCTCAAATTAAGGCTAAAAAAGGCAAACTTAATGCTAATAAGCATTCTCTTCCAGTCAACCCTGGGAGTAGAGAAAGTTTGACGCAGGTGCAAAACAAAATACGCGAAATAAATTAAAGAAAAATAAATAAAATAAAACAAAAAAAGCAAAGGTACATTCTATAGAAATATACTTTACTCAGAGATAAATACTTTACATATAATCATTAAATAAGTATAAATTTCAATACATAAACATTATATAAAATAAATATCTTTTGTAATAACAAAAGATTTTATTAAAAATAAAATCTTTTGTTTATTAAAAATAAAATCTTTTGTTTATAGTGCACTAGCGATCCTCCCCGGCTTCGCACGGTTGCAATGCAAATACATATAAACCTTCGTCTTGAATCACTATCTAATAAATAAAACCGCATCAAGATCCGTTGGGTAGAATTAAAGATCTAAGCATACATAGAGACATACAAAAAGCGGGACGACTTTGTTTTATAATATGTAGTGATTGTATTTGAGAATAGATTAAAATTGCCCAAACTTATAATTTAAATAAATTTCGGTCGAATTTTGAGCCATCGGTATAAAATAAAATAAAACAGCCTGTATTCTCTAAACCACATTTATTACAAATTTTATCTAAATTAAATGACTCCTTAGCAGTTTATTGGACATGTTTCATGTTTATGAGTACAAAACTATTCATTTTCCTCTATTTACACTAAGGCCCAGGCATTTCATTGTAGCGAACAGGATAAGTGAGTTGATTTCCACGATCCCATGAATATAACTCCTGGAACAATATAAATAAAGTAATTATAATAAATTTAAAAATAATAGAACTACGCTATGGTGTAATAAATCAAATTCCAGTATAATCTTCTTTGTAATGAAAACTACTCTTGTTTAGAAAACTACCTCTCAAACGTCATGAAATTGAAAAGCATCAGTACTTTTGTGTGCACAACGTAATTATTAAATCATTCATTCAAGTCAGTGGAAAGTATTACGACTTGAGAGGGCCGGTGGGAAATAAAAGATTTCACATCGTTCGCGTTTTTCTCGACGAGTGGGATACCGGGGGATAATTCGTAAGGGTTGGCAGCGCACCAGTTACCATATTTGAGTTGTTTCGCACACGGCGACGTCAATAACTAACAATCAGACGAACCGCTTGCTGACTAGCCATCATGTCTCAATAGCGTGACGGCCCGAGCCGAGGCTCCCCCGGGAGCCCTCGAGCTTAGTCATCATAACGCGTAATAATAGTACGCAGAGGTTCAGGCTAGGCGCCTCGTGCGCCAGGCCACCTCAAGTCCGTCGGATCTGTAAACCATCATGTCTTTGTAACGTGTCGGACTCGCGTATGAAGTTATCTATAAAATCGGGTCAGTGAGCCCCATTAAAAAAAAAAAAGATGTTTTTTAGTATTTGTTATAACAGCGGCAACAGAAATACATCAAATGTGAAAATTTCAACTGCCTTTCTTTTTTTTATAGTGCTGATCTCTGCACTTAAGATTGACTTTTTTTCTACATATTTTAATACCCATCGTTTTTTATATCGTTTTTATATAGTTATTTCAACTACCTATCACGGTTTCATGAGATAGAGCCTGGTGACAGACAGCGGAGTCTTACAAATAGAGTTCCGTTTTACCCTTTGGGTACGGAACGCTAAGGACGAACCTTGTGTATATGGTCGTATCCCAGCTGCGTGGTCTTCCGGAACGGGTTGGTGAACTGCAGCGACACCTCCAGTGGCTTGCTGAGGTACAAATCGATCGCCACCGACACCTTGCTCTCCCGGTCCGTTGCGGAGTCCAACGCGTACAGTACACCGCACACGATGAACATCTCGCCCACCTGGAGATTCGAACGAATATTCTTATCCTTTAAATGAGCAATTCTTGTATATATATATAATTGGAATCTCGGAAACGGTTCCAGCGATTTAGTCATCATGAAATTTAGTATGTGCGTAGATTCGGGGGCGAAAAATCGCTCTAGCTAGGTTTCATTTTAGAAAATGTCCTTTTATCCCTGTTATCGGGGAATGAAAATTATCATTCGAAATTTTGCCGGTCGGTAATCAGGCGGCCCCAAAACAGACGGCGCGGTTCGTATCACGATCATTTACACACTGATTTTTTTTTTACTTTTTTTTCTGTACCAATTTTTTTTTATTTCCAAAATATGTGATTTACCAAAAAAACCGAGCAAAACTCCTCCGGGTACTTATTGTTTTTACGAGAGAAGGTGGCAAGTGAGCTGGTGGTTCTCGCGATGTTAAGTGATGACGACCGCCCATATGCAACACTAGGGCTGCAGATGCGTTGCCACCTTTAATAAAGCGGGCCCCGGTTATCTCACTCACCAGACGAAACGCAGAAGTGTAACACTTGCAGGTCGACTTGCCCATTCGTGCCGCAGAGATAACTGTTGCGTGGCCCTACCAGATAATTAAGTTTATTTATATCAGGTTAACAGGATCCCTAGCAGTTGGTCATTCCGATCCGTGAATATGAGTACTACAAAGTGAGGGTGCCGAAACCGCGGTGAAATTCTTTAACTTGCTTTATTGAAATATTAAAACTTTAAATAATTATTAAGTTTATTCAATTTGTTTCATACGATTAACTGAATTTCACCAACCTGTTTGTGATTCAGCGATATGTTCCATATGTAGTCGATGTTCAGATCGTCTTTGTTGGGGTCGAAGCTGAGCTGAAATTGTAATAAATCCATCATTATAATTACTTGGAGGGCACAATTGTTAAAGTACAGACATTGCTGCCTCGCGTCGTAGGTTCGATCCTAACTGAGGTAGTTCAATGATCTACAAACAATTGTTTCGAATCTATTTGTCTACGAGTTTTCTATGCATAAAAGTACTTAATAAATGAGTTATTGTCCTACAATTTTATTGTACTAAGAGTTAATATTTATTTAAAATAAAAGAAATATTTGTTCAATAATATTGGAAAATTATAGTGTAGTAATATAAAGTTGGTTGATTTTATTATGATTATGTTCTCATTCGTCTATGAACGTTGTAAATGTTTGTATCCTGATCCTTGGGTATCTGATGCTTCAGGAATTGAAGTAGCATTTTTTGTTGCAAAGTTAACCTTATTAAAATATGATTTTGTCCAAACCTTCGCGACCGCAGTGTTGTTGGATTCTTCAATCGAGTAAATAACCCAAAGACCGTTGTCGTCAGCGCTGAAATCGACCTGTAAAATACGTGCGTATTACATAACAGCAGGCTAATGTATCACACAATTAATCGCAGTTAAAATATTTTACCTTTAACTAGTCTCCGTTCAGGCTGCAGTAAGCCCGGCTAAGTTAGCCCGTGCACAAATAGCAGCTGTTGTGTGGTTTGGCAACACAACTCAATCATTAGAGGTAATCCAAAGAAATAATTAATACTATCAATTCCATGTAACCATTCAACTAAAGTAAGAATATAATGAAAATAACATACTTATTATTTTAGATGCAACGGATCGCGTAGTTGGATACTATGGTAAAATTATTTCTGTGAAATGAAAATAGATCTATTCTCTCGAAGACGTGGGTTCGATTCCCACAGCGGCGACAATCTTTTCGTACTTTTTCTACATGTTTTAATGTTCAATCTTAAGTGCAGAGATTAGCACTATAAAAAACTTTAAAATTTATAAAAGCAATAGCGACATCTCTCGTTCAAATTATCGTTGTAAAACGATATTTGAAATTGTTTGTATGCTGGAAAGGATATATATAACAATAAATGCGCCAAGCATTGCTTCAAATGCTAAATAACAATCAAGAAGGAAGGCGTTAAGATTTTCGTCGCTGTGGCTATCAGCCGTTTAGCTCAATGGCTAGAGCGTCATGCCGCGAATGCCGAAGACGTGGGTTCGATTGCCACAGCGGCGACAATCTTTTCGTCCTTTGCTACATGTTTTAATGTTCAATCTTAAGTGCAGAGATTAGCACTATAAAAAACTTTAAAATTTATACTCAATACTTGTTACAAGTGGTCGCCCAGTGGTCGAAATTCGACCATAATTAATTTAAATTATAAGTTTGAACAATATGAGTCTATTCTCAATTAAACCATAGACTTTAACAATAAACAAAAGAGTATATACGTGTGGCAAATACTTGGTAGTGTGTGTAATGTTTATTTACTGATTTTATGTATTTTTATGCACAATTTAAAAGAAACATTAGCATTCTGCAATGCTTCTCTATATAAACTATAAGTGTGGGAAATTTCATAATCCGCCGTCCGCGCAATTTTCGTAAAAAGGGGTGCAAAGTTGTTGCTTCACGTATTAATATTTAAATTTACTTAGTTATCTGGGTCAGTGATAATCAGAAAGCTCTTGTACCTGGTTGTGCTGAGCGGTGTACAGGCGCCCGTCTGAGTGCGGTAAATGCACGGACTTGATTCGGCTTTGGGTCAGGTCGTAGCGTATTATGTCCCCTGGGTGGCCCGACTCGTTCGCTTGGTAGAAGAACGAACCGCTGTAGACTATGTGGCCGTTCCCCTGTAGGTGTTATTCATAATTTTTGTAGTCCTAATCTCTGCAAAAATGGACAAAAAGTTGTGCTCCGCTGCGGGAATCGAACCCGCGTGTTTCGGGTGTTAATGATAGGTGTTTTTTGTTTAAAACTTCGGTTTGAAAATGACATTGCGTTCAGACAGAAAACAGCGTTTAAAAGTGTGTTTTAAAACGACTAACTACTTCACATTATGTATGGACTTTTTGATCAGAGTCATGCACCATAAGTGTGCGTACAAGATTTTCCAGTTTTATTTTACATAGTAGATGCTATTGTTGTGGATGCATAGCATGCTTATAGTGTAAAAAAGAAACTTACATAACAAAGATACTATATTAAACCGTCTCACCAACATGGTACGAACTTGTACAGTTTGTCTAGGGTTATTTGTTTAAAGACGTTTATTTCTATAAACTGTAACAGTTTGTTTAAAATGAGATTAAAATAATTTTGTGATAACACTTCTGGTACATACATTTTTAAGTTACTTATATTAAGATGATTTTAGGTAGTGTACCCGCGCAGTATGGAGATACGTCATCTTTATTAATACACAATTGATGGTCTTACGAAGAACGGCTTCTGCAGTTTATGGTACTCGTCAACGTGATCCGCTTTAAAGCTGGCCTTGGTTCGGTACTCTCGCAGCCTTTCAACGTCGCTCTCTTGAGTTGTCCATAACTTCTCCCTCTGAAACGATATTTCAAAATAAAACAGATTTCATTTTTAGGGTTCCGTACCCAAAGGGTAAAACGGGACCCTATTACTAAGACTTCGCTGTCTGTCTGTCTGTTCGTACCCAAACGGTAAAACGAGACCTTCTAAGACTTCGCTGTCTGTCTGTCTGTCTGCTCGTCTCTCACCAGGCTGTATCTCATGAACCGTGATAGTTAGACAGTTGAAATTTTCACAGATGATGTATTTCTGTTGCCGCTATTACAACAAATACTAAAAAACAGAATAAAAAATGTTTAAGTTGGGCTCCCATATAACAGACATGAGTTTTTTTTGCCGGTTTTATAGATAATGGTACGGAACCCTTCGTGCGCGACTTCAACTCGCACTTGGTTGGTTTTAAATTTTATCGTCGGATATCTTCGGTCGGAAGCCTAATTATTCTGTTGGGATAAGACTGTTGTAAAGTATTTACAACTGTTGAGAATAATAAACCATGTCTATATATACACGACAAATATGCCTGACATATTTGCCTGATGTTTATGTTTCTTAGTAAATACCTAAAGAGATTTGAGAAGAAATGTTCTACTATAACTCATTTCTTACGCAGATGGACAGTTTTGGTATACCATCACACATTCACAGAGATCTTCATCAAATTGTTGTACATGAAGCCTCTCTCTTATATTTTATTTGCACAACTTACGAACTTGTATTCTTACAATTTTAATCCGTTCAATTTAAAACCTTAAACCCAACTTAAGGACTCAAACCTCAACCGGCTGGTGGAACGCTCTACCTAGCATTGACTATAAGTTTGCCGATTCTATGATGAAATAATTTATAAAACTTAGCTGTGACTCAGTGACTCAAACCTCAACCGACTGGTGGAACGCTCTACGTAGCATTGACTATAAGTTTGCTGATTCTATGATGAAATAAATTATAGAACTTTACCTGTGACTCCGTGACTCAAACCTCAACCGACTGGTGGAACGCTCTACGTAGCATTGACTATAAGTTTGCTGATTCTATGATGAAATAAATTATAGAACTTTACCTGTGACTCAGTGACTCAAACCTCAACCGACTGGTGGAACGCTCTACGTAGCATTGACTATAAGTTTGCTGATTCTATGATGAAATAAATTATAGAACTTTACCTGTGACTCCGTGACTCAAACCTCAACCAACTGGTGGAACGCTCTACGTAGCATTGACTATAAGTTTGCTGATTCTATGATGAAATAAATTATAGAACTTTACCTGTGACTCAGTGACTCAAACCTCAACCGACTGGTGGAACGCTCTACGTAGCATTGACTATAAGTTTGCTGATTCTATGATGAAATAAATTATAGAACTTTACCTGTGACTCCGTGACTCAAACCTCAACCGACTGGTGGAACGCTCTACGTAGCATTGACTATAAGTTTGCTGATTCTATGATGAAATAAATTATAGAACTTTACCTGTGACTCCGTGACTCAAACCTCAACCGACTGGTGGAACGCTCTACGTAGCATTGACGATAAGTTTGCTAGATTCTATGATGAAATAAATTATAGAACTTTACCTGTGACTCAGTGACTCAAACCTCAACCGACTGGTGGAACGCTCTACGTAGCATTGACTATAAGTTTGCTGATTCTATGATGAAATAAATTATAGAACTTTACCTGTGACTCCGTGACTCAAACCTCAACCGACTGGTGGAACGCTCTACGTAGCATTGACTATAAGTTTGCTGATTCTATGATGAAATAATTTATAAAACTTTACCTGTGACTCAGTGGCATTGGAATCCCTCAACCAGGCTCCGAACAATTCGTCTTTATAACGGTGGTAAACCGGTTTCCCAATGGCATAGAGTTGGCAGTCTGAAAAGAACATAGGCAGTTTTTTTATTTTACTTTTTTTTAGTTGTTGACCGTTGGGTATTTTGAAATGGTGGTGATAGCGGACGTCAGTGAAGTATATTTAGAAGACTTTAACTGTAAGACAAAATCGAGACAACTCAATGGCACAGTTCTTCCCCGGTCGAGTCGAACATTTTTTGGTCGAACCAATCAAGTTCACTCATCGTTGGCCAAGTATGGAATGTCTCGTCTTCGAGGAGAGACTTCAGCAGCCAGTATTTCGCTAAGGACTTACTAGTGTTCCTTCTGGGTTTGAAGCCGGCAGTGGCGTTCATAGTGGATATGAGCAACTGTGCGCGGTCGCATCTGGGGCAGGTGGGGCAACGCTGAACCTTACAGAGCTCTTCGTACGACGTGAAGGGCGGAGGCCTGGAACCAAACTCCATCGGCTGCTCCACTAGATTATGGTGGTTGGGACCGGGATCTAGAAGGTAAGATGAAATGATTGATTAGCATTTATTAAAATACCAAAAGTGTAGTAACACTATGATAAGACTTTTATGATTGATAACTTATTGTTATAATTTCCGTAACTCATCGTATTTTTCCATAGAAGAACATTGGAAACAGTGGAATAATTTGTCCTTTTCAAACTGGCCCTTTTCAATGAAAGTGAATATTTTTCTCCTTTCCCTTTCCCTTTTCATAGACGTTTACTGAGCTATGCTACTGCTCTATGACTGTATGGCTGCTTTCCGGGTTGTATGCTGTATATAGGCCAAGCACTGGCTAGTTTCTAGTTTCTAATAAAAAAAAACAATTTCAATGCTTCGGCGCGCATATTGGAATTAAAAAAAAGTTAGCGACTACTTAGATTTTCATTTATTGATTATACAGCGTGTCGTTACAACCGCGACAATAAATGAACACACGTCTAACGCTACTACCAATAATCATACTGCCAATAATCATAAAAAATACAAAATCAAAAAATGATCCATAACTAAAAAAAAATAATTTTCAAACAAATTAATTAAATAAAAAAGAAACAAAATTTGTAACGTCCTATACAGCCGCAACTGACTGATTCATACATTCAGAGCCATAGCGTCGCATTACAAGCCTCTCCTTCTAACAGTATGTTTTGTCTCTTAAATTCATTCAACCCATTCATATGCTTTGCGACCTTTACAAATGAACTTTACGTTACAGTTTTGTAAGGATGTTCTAAAATTGTTTGTTTCGGAAAATTTTATAACTCGGTGAATGTTTAAAGAATGTAAATATTTAATACAATTTTTAAAAGTTATCCGCAATATGTGTGCTCAATTATTGTCGCGGTTGTAACGACACGCTGTATAGTTTTCAGTATTGACTAAAACTCACACATCAGTCGAATATGACCCTTAACCGTTTGGTTATTGAGTTCGTTCTTGGCCACGCAACTGTACTGCCTCAGGTCGTGCTCCCTTATGCCCGGAATCTCCAACCGCATGATCCATCGCCATGGGTCACCGGTGCTCACCACTTCGGTCCTGTATCGCGGGCCCTCGATGGTGACTCCGTCTATCTCCCACGCCAGCACTGGTTCTGGCCATGCTTGAATCTACAATGACGTTAACAACTATTGGAAATAGCTCAGCTTTTTACATTCCTGAACTGACTGGTATCTGTCTCATCATCATCATGATCATATTTTATTTTAGTAAGCCTAAGCCACCTGCATCCATTGACAACTCGTACATTTGCACAGGTCGTCACACTATCTAGGAGGGGTCGTTGCCACGACGAGGCCATTCTAGAATCTTTTATCCCCATTGGTTTGCGGTTCTACGAGTTATATGGCTGGCCCATCGCTTTTTCAGTTTACCTATCTTAGGAGCTATGTCCGTTATCTTTACTCTACTGCGGATGTCTTCGTTTCGAACTCTATAACGCAAGTATCTGTCTGTTCTATCGAAATCGACTTTACGTTAATGATACGATCATCACTGTGAAATAAATGTGTTGACATCATATTCGTCTACCCAAATACTACTACTGTCTACTAATATCATCAAACATATTCGGTATTTTTGTATGATAACTTATTCCTTACTGAGATAGGTTTACCAACTGGTCGAAAAAAATAAAAGTTATTATTTCCTTACAATATAAAAGAAATTTGGAAAACAAAAAAAAAAAAAAAACAAATTGAACTCACCTCACATTCGATTTTGGCAGTCTTGTTAAAAACGTAGACAATGTTGTTCGGGACCCGTATGTAAGGACTGACTGTAAATACATAAGACATTTTTATTTTACCTTGTAAAAATGAAAAGTTTTCGCGTAAACAATCATTAGATAGATTTTTAGACGAAAGGCACATGTCATTACTTTTTGAAAAATTTAATTTTTCCGTCTCTACATTCTGATGTGACTAATTACTTTGTTGGTTGGCGTTGCCCTTCGGGCCTAAAAATCACCATCGGTCACCGAACATGTAAAAATGTTTTGATTTGCATTTGAAAATTTGTTCACATTTGGGTACATATAATACTATCAAGTCAGCGGTTTTTGGTCCTTTATATGAATTTAGCGTTTCCTTCCTATTATGTGTTGTTGTTTTTAATATTTTTCAAATTTTGTAGATAATTTTGAACTTCATTACCCGTAAACCTTTCTTTAGCAGTTGGCTATATTTATTATCATTTCGAAATCTAAAGGTTTTAGCTAAAAACCTAATGATACAAATACGAGGTAGATATGCCACAATCGCACTCAAATTACGCCAATTGGTGTAATTTGATACTGCTATCTCTTTCCGTATCATTCGTTTTTAATCATCCATCACATTTATGTCATGTAATGTAAAGCGGAACAATTTTCAAACGCCGCGCGGTATGGACACGCGTCATCTTATTTTTGAAACATCATTGCTAGTACCGGTAAAATATACAGCGTGTCTTTACAATCGCGACAATAAATGAATAGACATATAGAGGATATCTTTTTAAAATTGTGTTAAACATTTAAATTCTTTAAACATCAATATTTACCGAGTTATTAAATTTACCAAAACAAAGAATTTTAGAACATCCTTACGTATAAAACTGTAACGTAAAGTTCATTTGTAAAGGTCACAAAGCATGAATGGGGTTGAATGAATTTAAAAATGAAATGAATGGGTTTGAATGAATTTAAAAGAGACAAACATACTGTTAGAAGGAGAGGCTTCTAATGCGACGTTGTGGCAACGAATGAAAAAGTCTCTGAATGTATGAATCAGTCAGTTGTAGTTGTATAAGATGTTACAAATTTTGTTTCTTTTTTACTTAATTAGTTTGTTTGAAAAATATTTTTTTATAATTATGGATTTTCTTTAACGTTAATTTTTTTTTATGATTATTCGCAAGTAGCGTTAGACGTGTGTTCATTTATTGTCGCGATGGTAACGACACGCTGTATAGTGTATTTTTATATACTTACAGTGAATTTCGACATCGGTTGTTTGATTGGCGGACGGTAGCATTCCGTTGTTCGCCGTGCATACGTACTTGCCTGTATGCCAACGAGACACGTTGGGGATGTTCAAGAGGTGGCCACTGACTGACGCGTCCCGCCATGGACCCTGCGTTTAGAGGCACTACATAGTATAAAACAAAGTCGTCCCGCTGACTGTCTGTCCCTACACATGCTTAGATCTTTAAAACTATGGATCTTGATGCGGTTTTCTTTACTAGATAGAGTGATTCAATAGGAAAGTTTATATAATTCATGCATAATACAGTGGAGAAACACTGATAATTTTAAAGCTTTCTAATGCTATGTCGAAAACAAACATTCAGTATTGCACCCGTGCCAAGCCGGGGCAAGGTTTCTTTGTTCCAAAAATAAGTTTGCAATGCAATGTTACAAATAGTTCAAAAAATCTCAAAAATCTCTATGCACCTGAACGTCCACATCACAACTCCCTTGGTTGCGGCTACCTTAATAACAACCAGACCTAAGGCAAGACGAGGCAATGTTTTTTGCTATTCTCTGCACTTAAGATGAAAATGTTAAATGTAAAAAAATGTTATTATTTTTTTATAATTTTTTTTATGTGATAAATTGCCAAACGAAGAGACGGTTCACCTGATGGTAAGTGAATACCGCCGCCCATGGACATCTGCTACACCCGAGGGTTCCAGATGCGTTGACAACCTTTTGAAAATAGGGCTCTTCTATAATTTCTAATAGCAATAGCGAATTTCTTCTTCAAATTATCGTTGTAAAACGATATTTAAAATCGTTTCCATGCTGTATAGGATTTAATAATGGATGCCCAAAGTATTAATCAAATTGGAAAAAAAAATCAATGTAAAAGAATTTGTGATTATTGTCGGTGTGCCAGTCATGTTTAGTTAAGTAGTTAGAGCGACTGGACGCGAATCCCGAAGACGTGGGTTCGAATCCCACAGCGGCAAAAAAATACGATTGTTGATTTGTGAAGTTCTTTTACTTTTTTGGTGTACGGAAACATTCACGTCACTAGTCTTCTTTTTGAATTTTATACCTTTTGCCTATTTATTAAATATCAGTCTTTGTACTTAATAGTAGGTACTTGTAATTGTCATATACGTAGAGAATTTTTTTATTTTGACTACTCTTGGTGCATCACTATATAGTATAAAACAAAGTCATCCCACTGCCTGTTTCTCCCTATGTATGCTTATGTTTTTTTTACTACGTAGAATCAAGAGAAAGGTTTATATAATACATTGCACCCGTGCGAAGCCGGGGCGGGTCGCTAGTTACGAATATCTTACACTTATTCAGTGCGCTTTCGTTTCCTACGACGGGTGGGATATCGACCTGTATTATAGCGTTGTTATCAACTCTGCGCCATTCGATAGTTGGATCGGGACGTCCCATTGGGTTGCAGCTTATGCGAAGTGTGTCCCCTTCCCGAACGATGACCCTCGTGTGGTCCTCTGGAAAAGATGAGGATAAAAGTTGTAATGGTAAGTTTCTCTATTAATTCAGTGGCTGTAAATTCATTATTGATTAATTGTAGGCAGTCAATAAATTCACTCTAAGATGAGTAACAGAAAGTGAGGGGAGTGGGGGAAATGTAAACATCTTTTCTGGTTACTTATAACTCCTGTTAGTGATAAGACCCAAAATGAAAGACAAAAATATTTGTGCATTAAATATTTCTGACTAGCAGTAGAATATATCATGAAAATAATATAATAACAGTAGATGTGATATGAATCGTAACTTGCATTAGTTTCAAACGTATGCCTATGATTTTTTGTGTAAATGAATCAAGTATTTACTTTAATATATACTTAAATTGCAAATAATTTCATCGATGGGTGAGAGAAAAGGAGTGGATAACTCGTAGCGCTTGACGCCACAGACAAATTAATGTTCGTGAAACGGATCGTTGATGCAGTGAGTGAAGCAACACACACGTTTTCGAAAGTGTATTGATGTGGAAATAGCAAAAGTGGTGTGTTTCGTTTACATTGGGATCCTTATCCTCAGCTTACTTCTCTGGATGTAGATATTTATGTATTTGTTATCATCCTCCTTGCCCTTGGGCCCGGAACAATCTGTGGGTTGCACAAACAGTTTTTCCGTGTGGGAATCGGACCCATGACCCTGACGCAGAAGCCAATAGCTTAGCAATGGTGCCACCGAGTCATTCATGTCGTAAATAAGGATTAAAAGATGTCTTACGAGAGAACGTTGGTGGGATGAACAGATCCTTTTCCTTCGTGTAGTTGTATATGGAGAGGCCAGGTCGGCCTGGGGCACCGTCACGGCCGTCGTTGCCTCGCTGCCCTTTTGGCCCTATGGGACCTCGGTCGCCTTTAGGACCCCGCCCACCAGGAGGGCCAGTGGCTCCAGGTCTGCCTGTAAATAGAAATGAATCGACTCGGAAACATCACCAATTGTATGTGCAACAGGACATTTTCGAAATAAGTTAAGAATATCGAATCGATGTTTACTGATTGATTTAAATTCTCATCTAGCAGAGGAAAAGAGAGGAGATTGTAAATCAATCGGCCACTATTTATATTAAAAGCAATAAATGGCTCAAAATTTCAGTGTGAGACTGATGTTGTATTAAGTGTTTTTTTAAATTGTTGTACTATGTGGAATGGGAATACATTCCCAGTATTTCATCCTTGCCTTTGTTATTAAATAAGTGAAATGCACTGCCATATTTTAGAAGCACTGTATACATTCCATTCACGCAGTTCTTGATTCTTATGTATATAGAAGAGTTAACTGTTTCATAATAATATATAAATCTATTTTTTTCCCTGCCCTATTCAAACAGCTGAAAAAGACTAGACGAAATCAAAATTAACTAAACCTAATATTAAAATGTTTTCGCCTTTATTTGTACAGACATTTTCGATGGCTGATGGATGGATTTTCGTTCCTGATTAGTTCATTTGTAAACAATGTTATTTGTTTGAAACTGCATGACTTTTATTTATCTTATTGCAATTTGCATTATGTACAAGTAAACCGTTCTTATTTATGCAATCCTAAGATTGTATTATTAAAACGGTTCGGTTTTCCAAGCCTAAGTTTGGAAAACCTTAGATTGAATGAGCCTAAACCTAAGAAGACCACTAATGTTCGCGGATGAACAACCATCAAGAGCGAAGCTTAACTGAACCTAAAATCAATTAGTTGCCCAGCATTAAATAGATGAAGGTAATATTTAGAGTCTTAATGATTTCTTACCATCTTTACCGTCCTTTCCATTCTTTCCAGGGCTACCGTCTTTCCCGGGCATGCCGTCGCGACCGTCCCTGCCTGGGGCACCATCAGCTCCGTTTCGGCCTGATAGACCGTCCAGCCCTGGCTCCCCTGGCACACCGTCTCTACCGTCGAGGCCAGGGTTGCCAGGGAAACCACGTTCACCTGCACTATCGAATGCTTCATTACATTATCTGAACTGAACCTCAACATATAGAATCTCAACGACATCTCTCGTTTAAAATTATTCATTGTTGAAGGGTATTTGTAAGGTGTTATATACTTTGAAGAATGCACACTAGATCGCGCCACGAATTGCTAAAAATACAATAGAACGAACGTAGATAGATGTCAAGATTTTCGCATCGGCCGATTAGCTTAGTCGGTAAAGCGTCTATGCACGAAATCAGAAGACGTATGTTCGAATCTCGCAGCGCCGAAAGTTTAGAATCATTTATCTACAAATTACAGTTTAATATTACAGCAAGTTGCAAGATAGTCCTCGTACCTTTTAATCCTGGCGGACCAATGGGACCTCTGTTGCCGACGGGGCCCTTTGGTCCTGGAACGCCTGGAGGGCAATAGTCCTGCGTCGCTTTGCAGAAGCCCTGCACGACTTTGTACTGAAAATCGTAAATAAATAACATAGGTGAATTGGAAATAAGTATATGTAAACAAAATAAGCGACGATTAATTATACGAAGGCTATATTATATGTATTTATTTATAAAAGAAAAGTATGTTTATCAGTTATATAGTACTCATATTTTTTAAACATTGCCCTTACTTTATATACTACAAGCGGTGCTTAGTTTGGGACTGGAGAGCGTTGTATAAAAATCTGTCCTAAAATATTTATTTATAACGTATACGACCAGTCGAACAAATATCATGAGTGATCGAGAATTTTTTTGTGTGCCTCACTCCTCTTCACGCCGGGTTTGAATGAGATAAAGAGAATTAAAATACACTATCATTAGATGACTATTTATAATGAAATATTAATTAAATTCATGCATTTAGTGATAATAGTTTTTGGATTATGATACTGGAGTATAAACATAGCTTAGATTTGAAAGGTGGTCCTTAATAAAATGGCCACTTACTGGAACTCTCGAATAGCTGGTGAGCCACACCCAAGAGTCGCCTCCTGGTGCTGGTCCCTTGGCACCGGTGCGCTTCATCTCCGCAGCATCCTTGTCCTCGAGCTCCCCTCTCATTTTCGGGTTGAAGAACTCCACGTGTGGCGCCACTGTGTTCTCCTCGTGGACAACTGAAGCTTTCTGAAGCGTCATTGTTTCTTTTTATGCGATTGTCAAGCGAGCAGGCGGTTCTCCTGTTGTTAAGTGAATACCGCCGCCCATTCACATTTTCAAGACCTATAGGGTTACAAATGCAATGCCACCTTTTAACAAAGTGAGCCCCGGCTGCCTTACTTAGCAGACGAAACGCAGAAATGTAACTTCACTCTAGTCTTCGGTTAGGAGATACTTCCCTAGACGCGTCTGATCATTCATTCAACAGCAGAAGTTGTTGCGTCGCCCTATCACAGTTGTAAATTGCCATTAAAATTTATGATGCGTGATGTAGCATGTTCTCTATTCTCAGATTCTCAATTGGCTTTTAATTCGCTATTATTAAATATCTTAAAACAATTATTAGAAAATATTATTGTTGTTAATTATGTCTATAAATTACTATTCTTACTACGTTTACAATAGCTCCTTATTGTATAGGTATTATGTTTACAACAGCTTTTGGAATATGGAAATCTAGTTTTGGACACGCTATAACAGATGGCGTAACTATCGTGTTGACAGCAGATTTTATTTTACAATTTGGACATTTTCAATTTAATTGTGTAAATGAACACTTTGAACACACAGCGCTCAGCGTCCGGACATTCTGTTTTTACTTCAGTGTCCTCGAGAAATCTGTATTGAAATCTCTGTGTCAACTAATGAATTGATTGAAACTGCTGTTTTATGACGGCTAGGCATGTACATGTCTTCGATATATTTTTAGAAAATATTTCATTGACATATGAAGTCTGCTAATTGTAAGTATTATACGGCGTTTGCATTGTTTTTGTGTTATAATACCGTAATTCCCTCTGTTTATTATTAATATAACCAATCGTACAAATTGGCGCCTTTCGAACACAACAAGCTTATTGACAACGACTATCTGTTAAGTTTAAGAAACATGATGTCTCTTTGTTCATACAACGTCATTATCTGAGTTTACTACTACTACTACTAGACGGCTGGATACATGGGTTAAACTAATAATAGATGTCTGCAGCTATCATTTTATTTATTTTATTAAATCTTTATTGCACTAAAAGTTGTACAAAGGCGAGCTTAATGCTATATTGCATTCTCTACCAGCTAACCCTAGGTAGAACAGAGACATAATGACAAGGGCAGTAAAGTATACATCGTATAGATATATATATATATATCAGATGTTCGTACATAGTAAGCACTATTAAGTAGCTAAGACTCAGCAAGGATATGCTCAAACATTTTCTACTTAAACACAATATTGTATTTCAATCATGTTTCACAATCGTCACAATAACAAATAAATAAGTAATAATAAATAAATAATAAGTTAATTCATCTCTAATAAAATTCCGATCTCTATATAATCTTAATCGTATTAAAGGCAATTGCATCAAACTGACTACCTCTTAAGTCGGCAAATTACAAACAATTTCTATAATACAGACACGATAACATTTAAGCTTCTACAATACCAGCATTGCCTCCCTCTTCAGTCGGTGCGTCCTGCACAACTCCAACACGTAATCGTCGATCCTCTCCTCCAGCGTGGCTTTGAGGACGTCGACAGCCCTTCCTTCCAAGCTAAGTCTCTCGTTAATATCGGCACTGTCCACAAATCTGTATGTGTGTACTAGTAACGACGCGACACCACACACGGCTGCGAACAGAGACAGCCGCCAGCAACACGAGCTCTCGCTAGCGGTCACCCTCCGTTTTGTGTTGGAGGGCATTGTCGCATCGTTGGCTTCGCTGGTTCCCTGGAGCGTCGGCTAGGTCTGCGGCATCACGTTCACCGTTAGCACCGCCCGGGGCAGCGGAGCGGCGTCCGAATTGAGCGCGCGTTCGCCCGCTTATCTACGAGTGACTGCTTCCTGAAGTTGCACAACGCGGGCACCCGATAACCGACAAATTGCGGGGGTCCATTAGACCCGGCCGGCCCAATCAGCCGATCGACAGCACCCGTCCCGCCAACACGTGTCGCGCGTTTGAACGTAAGAACGCACATGTGGGATAGTTTTACAATTATTATATATTTAAATAGTGGCATAGTAGTATCTCTACGTTATGTGGACTTTAAGAATGGGTTGATTCGTTCACACCTCATTGGGATTGGTTCTACACATGTTTGAAGTCGTTATTATAAACTCTTAAACTGCATATGACATATCAAATGGAGAAAATTTCTATAGATTTTTTATAACAGTGATACTAATCCTTCAGTGAAAAGCGAACTTGTGTATGTTAAAATGATTTTCTAAATAATAGCATTTAGTTATGTTCCTTATGAATAGCTCCGTAACAGGACGTTTACCAAAATTTACTAGGAGATCTATTTGTATATATTCTTATCATTGTAGGTTTATAGTTTTGTCATTACATAAAAGAATTTTGCCTTTCAGTGAAAAGTAAGTGCGTTTTACGTATTTTAACTCCTATCGTCCTTGCGTCCTCTCGACTCTAAATACGTTCATTGAAATCAAATGCACAGGAAATATGAATCACAAAGTAACCCGTGGAACAGAACCGACGCTCCAGATTATATTGTCCACTTTTAAGAAATTATCTCTTTTTGAATGAAAATATTTGTAAGTTATTTTAAGTATTAGGTGGGTAAAAATAATTTCAAATATTTAATTTGAGACATCCGCAACCGCAATAAAATTAACGATTGCTATATGTTAAGTATTTATAATGCAATAATATGATCGAGCACTGTCGTAAGCACAATCAATCCATACAATGAAATAATAATATGTAAAATATACATGATGCACATAAATTCTACATTGCTTATCATTGACCTCCATAAGTCAAATATGCCGAAAAAGCTGAGGTCGCCCTAAAGCAGAAGCAATAGTGTACGGACAGGCAAAAAGATAATGCTAAAATGAAAAACATAAGTTGCAAATAAAACTTCATTTCTAGAGAATGAACTTAATTAGTTTGTCCGTTAGATGTTAATGCTTGTTTTCGACAGATGGCACTGTATCTCAATTTTAATACTGCTGTAACTACAACATTGTCTCAGCAAATATAAGTTTTTTTGGTGAAATGTATATAAAGTTGTTCAGAAGTTACCCTATCACTAACAGACGCAAAAATGTTTACGTGTATTAAATAATATTAAGTGTCAAATTAATAAAATTAATAATAGTAATACTTAATGGACATATGTTTACACATCATTACATTCTGAGTTTTATATACTTATTTTCACCTTAGGAACACCTTAAGAAGTATGTAGACAAAACACCCATACTTTAAACGTATTTCTGTTAGGCCATATTTATCACAAAGTTGGGAATTGAATTTACGAATCAATCACACATGGTTTAAAGCAGTACTATTCAACCTTTTATTCACAGGTGCCACAAAGACGTGTTTGTCGTGTTATCGCGGGCCGCAAAAGAAATAAAGAGAAATAAAAAAGATATTTAACCGTTCAAACTGAGGGATGTGATTAATATGATTGGCTAACACATAAACATTTGTAGGCGAGATAAAAAGACGAGAACGGAACGTGCGTTGCCAAGAAAGCGTTTATAACGAGCTGCTACTCTATACAAAGCTTTTAGAAAAAAGTCTTCCTAATCTTTTTTCTTTTGGCAACCCTCACCGATCCCTACAACGCATGCGCTAATAAATATGTCAGGGCCACGACGTGACATGGTACCACCAAGGTCATAGATGTTTAGTTTTAACGCTGCCACTCGGCGGGTGATCCTTAGAGGAACTGGCGTAGTGTTGAAGAGTACCCCTCCGAAATGGATCTGGTGCCACCCTTGGCAACAGTGCAAGGTACAACAAAAGAGATACCTTATATTACCTAGAATTTGTATCTAAGTTCACTTTATTTCGAGGTTATTTATTTGTATACAAATTATTTTCGATTTTAAATTGTATATGCAAGATTTGTTTGTATCACTAGCGGAAGGGTGAAAGGTATCCTAATTCGATTATGGTTACGATTGTTTTCAAATTGGTAAAATACATAGATAAGAAAATCTTTGTTATACTGTTTAAACACAGTGAATACGATTACGAAATCATAGTATTATTTAAGAAAAATAAACAGCTGTACGATTGCTATATTTGATTAAAAGATATAGTTTGTAAACAAATTAAATTAGTAATTGGTCGCAGTTTTATTTATAAATTTGTATTCTAGGTTTCCTTTACTTTGCGTTGAGCGAAAAAGGTGCTTTTTAGAAAAGATACTATGCATAATTTTTTGTTTTTAAATCCAGAACTTCAAAAGATTTCTTTTCACTTTTGAATTGTTACATTGGAGGAATGGGTACTTTTCATTAAAATATTCAATACGTAACCTCTTTCTTTAAGTTAGATATAGTTCAATAGGAAAGAAAAGTGGCTTGTACGCGTTTGACACAGTTTTTTCCTCCAAAAATGCTTTTGGTGATGCGGTTGTTGGCATGCGAGAAATAGATATAGTATTGACGATAAATATGTGATAAGACTTCTAAATACACAAAAACTTATGTGTTTATCTATTTATTTATTTTATTTAATATACTTTTATTCAGAAGGCCGGCCCTTGTAACCCTAACCCATATGTCATTGTTGTTTCTAATAAATTTTTGCCATATCATGTGCTTTAAATAATATTCATTCATTCATTGAATTATTCTCCACGGTATCTACCGAACAAAATATGAACACGGTACTACTGAACTGAAAATTACCGTTATTGGATTCGATTTTATGAATCGAATTATTGGAAACTCCCATTGTTAAAACCCACTCTACACATATTGAGAAACAATACCTGGTTCAGTCTGTCTGTCACTCGCAAAACAATTCTTAGTCCACTTTACAGGGTTAGTCATGATATAAACCCGTTTGAACTGTTATCATTATTCAGCTTGCAGTGTCCAGCCATTAGACGAATATGAAACACCAAGAGCCCCGCTACTCCGTCAAGTATCGCTGGATGAGGAGAGACCGGATGACTGCCAGGGCCACTGGCGGGGCCATTACATACTGGGAGAAGAAGAGGAGAGAGGAGTTAGGCTGTTCAGGGCACTGCTGTTGCAGCACTTGAGACTTGAAGAGCTTAGGCCACCGCCGTGTATGATGGTACCGGCAAAACCTGATCAGAGGTAAGTGAAATTCTTATCTTGTTTACAGCAAAGGTCTGCTTTTTTTGGAATACAAATGATGATCCATTTTTATTAATATTCTAAATTTTAAACCACCAACAATTTGGATTTTTTGAAAGTAGATCGTTAAATTATACAGGAATAGAAATATTATATTGGCATGTTCTATGACATTCCCAAGGCATTTGACTGTGTAGATCATACAACTCTTATTAAAACGTTGAAATTTTGTGGTATTAGCAAATATTTTTTTTGTTCATTTTTGTATCTTACTGACAGGGAACAAAAAGAAATCATAAATCGTATAGTGTCATCGAGTTCGGTAATATAAATGGGTGTTCCCCAGGGATCAATCCTCTGTTCATTTCTCTTTTTATTTTAAATAAATGATTTGCTCTATACATATTGGAAAAATGTCTCAAATAGTTTTGTTTGCGGATGACAAATGGGGTTAAAAATATCTCTAACATAATATATAATGTTTATATATTATATATGATATAATGTTTCCGAGTTTGACTCACCCATTCCTAAGAAATTTATGTATAAAAGTACGTCGATCTATTTAATAGAATTGTTGGCGATAGCACCAATACCTTATGCTTGGTAATATTTTGTGGTTGGGTTTTTTCCAGAGGCTGGTGGTTGTACTGGCGAGACTGGAGGGCCCTAGAACGAGCGGCGAGGAGGTTCAGAGAGACAAAAGCTCGTGCGATTTTGGCGGCGCGCGCGGAGCACATACCGCTGTTAAGTCTTGACGAGGTAGCATTCGAAGACATCATGCAAGAGCTATGCCAGGTATGGAGATTAAGTTCGCGTTTCGTCGTGAGTGAGGTAGCCTTTTTTGATGTTGACAACACATCAGCGGTTGTCCAGTGGTGATAGTAATTACTTCATTACAGATGAAAGTAAGCAAGCACGTAGGGTGTTTACTTACTTTTAACATAATAACACATAATGAAAATAATTAAAATGAAATTGCCGATGAGTACATCGTCAAATTACTAGCCAAGAGACAGTGAATACTGTCGCGTGGCTCTACCACCGTCGGTTTTGTGATGATGATAGGTTTGCTTTTATTTTCATTGACGCGTAGTATGTATTGTAAAAAAAGGCTATCTTTGCAAATAGTCTTGTCAAAAAGTCTGCAATGATTGTTATAATGATAAAAATCATCATAGGTAGAGTACTCACGTTTACTTTTCACTTTTAGATAACTCTACAACAAGGTGATCATTTGCTTCCAGGCTTGTTCGCACGTGGAGAACCGCGCTTTGGTGGTGCTAGCCTTCCTCTGTGAGGTGTGTGCCCGCGCCGTCAGGGTCGGTGGGTGGTGCCGCGCGGCTGACTGGGCGGCCAGGCACGTGGCACAGTGTGCCACACCCTGGGCCAACAGACACGGCGGCTGGGTGAGTTAGCAACAACGATCCGATTGGCGTAAGAAGTAGTGAACCAAAGGCCAGAGAGTGCTGGTTCGATCCTCACTACTAGAAAAATGTTGTGGGATGAACATAGTGTTTTTCCAGTGTCTGAGTGTTTTAATATGTATTTATTTACATGGATAAATTATGTACGTGATATCGCTGCTTAGTTTGAGACTAAAGAACGTTGTGGAAAAATGTGTCCGGAAAATATTTTTTTATTATTTTAAGACCCTGATTAGTTTATATAAGACACATTCGAGTTCAAAACACATATGAGTCGTCGTCCATGGTTTTGTAGTTAAAATTTGGCTTTAAGTTATTGTTGATTTAAGTATCTTCCTCATATAATAAAACAATATTTATATATATATATATATATATATATATATATATATATATATATATATATATATATATATATATATATATATATATATATATAAAACAAAGATAAAACAAAAGCTAGATACGCTCATGAATGCTTTGCCCAATTTGTGAGGTCAGACATGAGTTTTGTGTAATGCGAGTACGGCTTTATTTCAGAGTGCAGTGGTGGAGCGTGCTGGAAGGGCTCGTAGAGATGAGACCACTCTCATCGCTGGTGCTGCGCTGGCTGCTTTACTGGCATTTCTCATCTTCTGTCGCACACGTTTTCGCTATACAATCCTATAAAACGCATGTGTATGATTCAGGGTCCCAATTTCGTTTTCCGTTTTATGACGACCGAATCTGGCGGTGGAAGAATGTGAGGGTTTGCATTAGTCTGTGGCGGCTCTTTGAGGGAGATGAAGAGGTAAAGATGATGGCAACTGATGATAATTGATACTTCAACTTGTTTAGAAAGTATGTAGCGTTCGTGTGTAAGTTGTGGTACTTCTTTATTATCGGTTGTTAATGAACTTCGTAGTCGAAGTGTATAGCGGTAAAATTATTATAAACGCTCTATTTGCTTTGGTGTAAATTTATTAGGACTTTTGTACTACGACAAACATAAATTGTACCACAAACACGAATTCATTTCAAATATCAATGTTTTTGGGTCTAATTTGAAAATGTCGGTAATTATTGGTAACATTGTTTTAATCTTCGTATGAACGATTTTTAAGTATACAATTTAACTTTTAAGAACAATTTTCTTAGTATTTTTCGATATATCCACATAGTTTTCTTACCTTAGTCAAATGTGTTAATAGCATAACTTCATTAGGTTCGAAATTAGTTTGATATTATTTAGACTATCTGTATTGTCAATGGAGATCTGTAACAATTTTTTAATCTGTAATTTGTATACTTGAATGGGATACTAAAAGTAATCTTTATGTTATTCATAATTGCCTTAATATTGTATTATATATAACCATTTGGACACAAAATATTAGTTTTAGTTTTATTAGAGGTAATGGGTGTTATAAAAGAAAGTAGGAAAAATATTTAAACATTATTTTGTTGTGTATTAAGTACCAAAAACTGTTACGCAATGTAATTATTTACAAAATATGCTTAGCGTGAAGAAACTTTTCTATATTTATATTAGCTTTAACATATAAATCGTTATTAAATTATACACCGAATATAACTAATCCTCTATTATTAATAGCATTCTTTATGTAAGAAGATGGCGGCAATAAACCTGATGTTAAGTAATAACTGCCGCCCATCGATATTTGCAACAATCGTAGGGTTGCCAACTTTTAATAAAGTAGGCATTTATTTTGTTAAATAACTCGTCAAAATTACTTTCTTTGTGCACATCATGTGATGTTTGATAACTGTATAATGTAACTTAATCTACCGTCCTCAGTGCTTAATAACATCAATATAAGTATTAAGATTCATGAGTCGTGTTTATTTAAGTTTTTTTTGATTTATATGAATTAATTATATTCATATCAAGCAATTTCGAACTTTTGTTAACTTATGTTTTGGTTAATATTTGCCGATAAATTATGATCTTTTCGTATTATTAATGTTGTTTTGTAGTATTAAAGGATTTTTTGCCTTAGGCAAAGTCTATGTTAAATTTTTCCGATTCTGGAACAGAATTGTTTGACTTACGACTAAATTAACTTTTATACTATTTTAACTAAATATTTTAAATAAACTTACTTCATTAATATCAACATATTTCAATTGAAGACGTTGAAAATCATACGAAAATTTATCAGTAAGATATTTCTTGTGCATTGTTAAAAAAAATTGGAAAAGAAACTTAAAATGTTTGAAATGTCCTCGATACGTGTTTTATTCCTCAAAAATTTTACTTTTCATAAATAACAAATGGGTGTTCTTGTGATCTGCTAATGTGTGTAATTCTAAATTATTAAGTAGGTATATTGTATAACAAAAAATGATAAAAAAATATTTTCTGTAATAAAGCGTTCCAATACCTAAATCGAAATTTGTCTTTTTAGTTGAAAAACAAAAACGTAATATTAGATCATAAGACTTTACAGTAATTCTAATCAATACTTGCCAAAATAATATTATTAAATTATTTCAGACATAATTTTAAAGGGAAGGATATCAATGAGAATTAATTTAAATTGTTACAAAATTTAGATAATAACCACGTTAGGAACTTTTTTTTTATTTGAAAAGTTGCCAAACGAGCAGACGTTTCACGTGATGTTAAGTAAATACCGACTCTCATGGACATCTGCTACACCCGAGGGTTCCAGATGTCTTGACAACCTATTGAAAAATTGGGCTATGATATATGCTACGAATTGAATTGATGCCGTAGCTGTAGCGACTGTGTAGGCTTGTAGCACTTCTACGACGCTGCCTAATTTACAACAACTTTGAAACCTTATTCACTTCTACGTGCTACGTTCAATAACAATATAGCAATTTCTTTTATTTGCGCCAGCACTAAATGAAACTACTGACTCTTTTTACAGATTTATCACATGGTGCGGACACAAAATTAAATCCCACTTTTCAAAGGGTTGTCAACACATCTGCAAACATTCGGGCGTTGCAGATATCCATGGGCGTCGTTAATCATTTAACATCAGTAGAACCACCTTCTCGCTTGACATATAAAAAAGGTGCATTTAGAAGGAGAGGTATATTGATAAGGAGACGGTTGATACAACGTCTCTTTACCAAATTTCGTTTTAATGGCTTCTGCCTCTGAGGTTTGCGAACTAATAAACACGCCCTCATATTCTGTCAGTGCGATAAAGCCCTGCATGTGTTTTACTTTCGTAGGACCACGCAACAGTCTTCATTGTTGCATGAATGGGTAGGTCCGTCTGGGTAAGTAACACGGAACGGTACTCACAGAAGACCTAAAGTGTTACACTTATGTATTTCGTCTGGTGAGTGAGGTAGCCGGGGCCCACCTTATTTAAAGACAACGCATTTGCAACCCTACGGGTGTTGCAAAAGTCCAAGGGCGGCGGTTATCACTTACCATCAGGTGAACCGCCACTTTATCACAAAAAAAAATATAATTTCGTGAGGTGCATATTTTACGTTTCCCAAAGGTTTCTGTTATGATCATGAAATCTGGGCACCACCAATGAACTTTAATCGCAGACTACAAAAAAAAACAAAAAAGTACTACAAAAAACAGTTAAATGGTAAAAAAAACAACAGTTTTCACTATTTTATATACTTTTTATTTATTGTAATTTCCCACAATACGCTCCACGGCCGACGCACAACTCCACGTCCAGATAATCCCAGATGCGGCGCCAATCGAACAACTCATCTACAAATGTTCATCGTACTCAACGGACCTGGCGGACCATTAGTAACCGTACAATATATCACATTGACCAACAATTGTTACAGGCTTCTGGAGAGGGCATCGACTTCCCACGTCATAGTGCGCTGCATTTTTAAAACCAGTTGTCGTCGAGTTGGTTATATCGCATAGATTAGAAAGCAAAAAACAAAAATTAAAACAATTGAACAGTGAATAATTGGTTATCGTTCATTCACATTTCGTTCTAATTCCTTCATTCAAGTATTATTTTGAAGGGAAAAAAGATAATCGCAGAGCTTCTTTGTGGTGTAAATAAGACTTGATGTAATTAAACATGAAAGCCTATTTTGAATAAAGAATTTCCAATTTAGCTTCGAGGACAAAACTTGTCGACTAAAGGAAGACGTGAAGGGTATGAAAATTACGTTTTGGACTTTTTTATGAGATGTTGCTCTCTGCTGTGGTCATTGAGGACGAAAGTTGTGGAGACAAAGCATCGATAGATTTAACTAATGTATAAATGGGATGTATAATTGCCAAGTAAATCATATGAATTTCTACAGAATTGGATAAAGAAATTTCTCTTATTATTGTTTTCTTCTTTATTTTTACCATACGCTTAATTCTGAGTAATTTTCATTGTCATAAGTAATAATTAGAGATAGATTGTTATAAGTTTAGTGTACAAATCTTTATGACTCTATAGTTTTATAAGAAGAAGAATAGGATTTTTTATATCTACAGTTACTTCTATTATAATATAATTAAATAGCCATGCATCGAAATTTTGAATAGTTCAAGTGTTACATTTAAGAATATTTGTAAAGATATCGATTTAAGCTTCAATACGAAGTTAAGTTAAAATTATGCCAAATTTATGTCAAATCGTTAGAAAATTATCATTGGAATAATAAAAGAACTTAGGAAAACGTGAACATAGAATATTTTGGTTAAATTAGATTTAAGTTTTTAAGGTAAATTGTACAAACAAAAATAAATAAACTGATTATTGGTATACTTTCTATCATTGTACTCTCAACAGCACCTTTTATATCAATAACATGGAACATTAAGAACGATTTGGTGAGAGGAACAGTAACTGCAGGTGTAAAAATTAGCAATGTAAAAGTTAAGACACTTCTGTAACTGGTTTTAAAAGTGTGCAGCAATCACAAAAAACGTACAACACAATTAGCTATTGAGCTCCAAATAATATTCGTATAATACTGCTTGAGTATTTTTGTACTGGTTGGAAAATTTTAAACAAAATTCGTCACAGCCACCCCGCGACTCACCTTTTTATCATTACAACATGATGAAAATTCCTAGACTTATCTACATTATAATTAATAACATTTGTTACTTTTACTTAATTAATAATATCACTATTAACAATCTACGCTGGCATCTCGAGCTCGGGAAATGTCTGGAATTGTTAAGTTTGAATACAACAAAGTTTTGTAAAATAGATTAGTTATAAGAAAGATTTTCATCAAGATCAACACGGTTATACAGTGCAAAAATGTACATTAAAATAAAAATGTTTTTTTATGCATCAATGCCATTATTTGGAACAATGCCGTTGCTTAATTTAGTATTTTGTAAAGAATTTATATGCTTGTTATGGCTCCCATTGCGCCTAAATTAACTAAATTTATATTGTCATACGAAAACGAGATGTGTCAGCCAAAAAAGGGCGTATAACTCATTTCACTTTCCGCAACACGGTTGTTCAAGCTAATCATTAACAGATTTAAAAGATTCTGGGTCTTCTTCGAATTTAAACAAACCTGGAAAATTGGTATTTGGAATTCGGTATCGTATTGACCAAAGTGAAATGTAGTGAAAAGTATTTTTTTATAACATCTCGTATTATTTTCATTTTATAATCATATATTATATTACATAAAAAAACATCACTAGTAACAACACTACCTGGATATTATATTTCATTTTGTTAATTAACATCGTTAAACTTTTATGTTACTCGTAGCTTTAAGCCTAGTCTTACACTATGGAGAAGATATAAAGGATATATTTTATGTAGTTAAAAGGTATCAAATGTCGGCATCGCCGAAACTTCAACTTCAATAGATTTCTAGGAATCGTTAACATACTTTGAAATATCATGGAATCTAGATCGGTTCGTGCTGTTTGGTATTAAACGAATGCAATTTTTGATGTAACTACGTCGAATGTACTTGATGAAGGGTTGAAAGTTGTAGTTAGATCGTGAAACACATTGGAACAGGGCAAATTCCACGCCGTCTAATAGTTTTAACTGGAACAATAATGGAATGATGATTTATATTTACATTACTTAGTTACAATACTTGAGAGATAGATAAAAATCACTAGTGTATAAGAACCGTACATAATTGTCAGCGTATATAATCGTGTTGCATTGTAGGCGTTATTACATACATTATTTGGTGCGTCCCGTTATTGATACATCTCGTGGGATAAGTACAGTTAAGATATACACATCACTAATACTCCTAGTCGAGTTTAAGAATATCGTAATTATAGTCGATTTTCAAAAAAAATGTTGAAGACGTATCGAAAATTCGTTCAAACATTAGACAATAGTATAGAATGGCCACTAAATGATCGTACAGTCACATTCGTGGGCAGAATATATTACACCGATCATACAGAACTTGGAACTGATTTAAAAGTGATGAATGAAGAAGACGATAGAGGAATTGAAGAGGCAGTATTTTATACATCGCCATCGAATTCAGAAACTGTCCGATCGTGTGTGGCGCTGCTAAGCAAACTACAGAAATCTATAATCAAATCCAAGCTTATCATAAGTAATATCAACGTGAACGAAGGCGACGTCACAAATAAGTCCTATTCATTCCCTTATCACAGTATATCATCTACTGACCGTACATCGTCTACCTATCGATATGTTATTACTTACTTCAGATCGCTTCCGTTTGCCGCAAACAGATTAGTCAATTTTAATAGTATTTGATTAGTTACGATAATTATCAGTGGTGTTTTCGTAAGGTCGATACGGGCATCCAAATTTCAGGGTACACTTGTGCGCATTTGTATAAGTCGATCGAGTAGAGAGCGAATATTTCCCGAAGTTAAATTTCAACGACTTGAGCATGATATAATGTAACGAAATGTCAAAGCTTAACATGTAAATATTAACTATCTATTGCTAAACTATTTATTGCTATGTTGTATAGGCGGGTAATTATAAAACTCTGTGGGGTATCAACAATTGAATATATAACTCATTAACGTTTACTGTATCATTTACTCAATTTTAATTGATCGAAAACATACAACAGAAGATTGAAGAGTTGAGAGTTGAGAGAGAAGAAGAAGCCCGGACGGTTCATGTAGATGTTTCAAGGAATCACAAGGCAATAGAATCATCACTAACATCAGTTGAAACCGTGTAAAAATAACTACGAAATTTCAAAAGAAAAAATACTGCGTTTATTGATGATGCGGAATTAAATAGAAGAGATGATAGGGACTTAAGAAAAGTAGCACATTAGACTCATAAGGAAAAATTGTTAAGAAGAAACTTGTAGATGTTTTAACGATTTTATATGTATAATATAAGACACTGAAAGGCCCGGTATCGACTGAAGCAGTAGCAGTAGTTCGAGAATTAAACTGATATGATGTACCATTAATACTATAATTCGGGACTAACCATATTTACGTAGCGAGAGTTGTGGTTGGGTATCGTCTTGAAGTTATTTTTTTAACTAAATGTTGCTAGACCCCATCACACTTGATATCAGCCGACAAAGCCGAAGTGCAGATCATAACGTTAACTAATTTAAAGGAAGGCACACTTTCGTCAAATTGACATTGATTTTATATGTCCACGTACATACGATCCCCGCTGCAGTTGACGCCGGGCCTATAGATAGAGCGAGACGTTTGTGGCGTCGAAGCTTGTGTAACTATTTTAATATTTCCATCTCACTCACCTCCTTATGTTGAGCGAGTAAAGTACTTGGAGTACGGATTTGATTCACAATCATATTAATCAAGTGCCTTAAGTACTAGAATATTCTTGTACAGATGCATCGTCAGATAGTTAATGCAAATCACACAGCTGTCCCACTCGCAAGACACAATACACTACGATATTATTTACATTATCCGAATCACACGGTGACATAACAGACAGTAACAACGCTCAGTTATACTGAAACAGATACTAATTCATTGTATTCATTGTACTTCGCGGTTCAAAAAACTATTAACTACACATTAAAATTGTTCGAAATTGCAACGTTTTGGTTACGCCCCGAAACTGTCGATGTCGCTTGCTCGTTTTCGGCGCGAAAGCGCAATTCTTCAGTTTTTCAATCTCGCAATGGCGTTCAACACCTCCATAGAATTGATTGGAAGCTATTGACACGGACCACTGGACGGTCCCGGCACGATTCAAATGATAATGTACAACTCGAATAAACATTGGAAACAACTAACGTCATTGTATAATTTACATAATGAAAATATTTATAAAAATAAAACGCTAATCGAGCGACGCGCTTTCGACGTTTTATAATAACGTTTCATTGATCGTTTTCGATTTGCTTCAACGGTGTTTCCATAGTATGAGCCATCGTTCCAGATAAACTGAAGACAATCATATAAATCTACAGTCTCCGTCCATGACTGCAAATATTTAGTTTTTCACAAGCGTTACGATGATATGATAGAATGCGATATCTTACTCGTTGGTGCATGTTCAATGTAACAGAGAACATATCACTCATATAATTATAGCCTATTCCTATTGGATTTGTGCTTTTGAACATTAGACTATTTTATGTAACGCCGCTGTAAAAATCGTTTCGTTTCTACTGATTCCCTACTATAGATTTCCGCGACGTTACAATTAAGGCAAAATACGTTTTTTATTCAAAACAAACCTACAGACAATCAACACACACGGCTCCCTTAATTTTAATCGATTAACTGTATGTAAAATGCTATAAGCGTATATCCATTAGTCAATTTAAACCTTCTCTTGATAAATTCAATATTGCTTATAATTGCGTTCGTCACGTACGTCGAAATGAATTTTACACATTGTTCGTTATAATTGAGCAAATAACTTGTTTTTAGAACGTGTTTCGTTGAGAATAAAACATGGGATGGATATGCTCGAAATGTATGAAACTATACATAACACACAAACGACAAACACCTGAACAATTTTGCATTCGGACGAGGTAAGCGACCCGTAATATAACTAACAATTAAAATGAATTTCAAACGTTAAATATTAAACTTAAACTTATCGTTCGTTGGGTCCGTCAGGTCAATATGTACTTAATTGCATATTGATTTAAGTACATATCGGCTTGTCTCTAAGTCATCTCATCGTGGAAACAAAGTATAACACAGCCTCTGAATAGTCTCTAGCCGCTATGAATGACGCATCTATTAAAAACTCGATGCTCTAACACTGCTGTTCCCGAATTTGTGATACTACTGTGACGGCCATTTGTGGCGGATTCACTCGCTGGGACAGTGCAAGTAGCCATATTCCAGGGCCAGGCTGACCGCCACGAAGACGAAGTAAAGGAGGAACATGGTGAAGCCGAGGCCCTTGTTCATCTTCCACCTGAAGCATGCTATGCTCAGGATCACGAAGAGCAGCATCGCGAATAGCAGCACTATGCTGCAGACCATTCCCTTGGAGTTGACCTGCACCGGCTCGCCGTTGATCAGGCCGTACAGCAGCCAGGGTAACGGCAATCTGCAAATATTGGGAAAGTTCAATCTTTATACTAATCCATACTAATATTATAGGGTAGCGGCAATCTGGGAATATTGGCGAAAGTTCAATCTTTATACTAATCCATACTAATATTATAAATGCCAGAGTAACTCTGTCTGTCTGTCTGTCTCGCTTTCACGCCAAAACTACTGAACCGAGTCAAATGAAATTAGTAAACACAGATAGTCTAGAGCCTGAGAAAGGACATAGGCTATTTTTTAATTGAAATTTTTTTAAAGAAAAATATTTATTTAAGGGCTTCAAGGCGAGCGAAGCCACGGGCGAAAAGCTAGTATACAATATGTATAATATAATACTTGACGACCCTATAGGCGTAGTGGATAGTAAGCCTGTCTCTTGCGCCAGAGGGTGTGGGTTCGATCTACTGGAAAGATAATATGTGATGAACATAGTGTTTCTTCAGTGCCTCGTTGTTTATATGTATATATATACAAAAACTATAATATGTATATATTTACAAAAAAATTACGTTTAAGTATGTTTTATCAGATATTAACCACAGTATAAGCTTCGCTTAGTTTGGGACTAAATAACACTAGTACACGTTTCGGTTTATGTAACAGGAATTAATACATTAAATTCTTTTATACTACGATGAATGTTCAACATCAAATTAAACGCTTAATGGCTGATGGGAAAATAAATGAAGGAAGAAATTTTAACTTTCACAATTGACCGCTTTTGCTTTGATGTTTGCCGATAAGGCTGCCGAGCAACGGTTTGTGTATTTCAAACATTTCTAAAACAAATGACAACCATATTCTTCAGTTCATCATTAATAGTTTATCTGTGGTAGAGCTACGCACGTTTTTCTGCTTTTGAATGAAAGGCTCACACGGGGCTCACAAGGTTATTATAATATTAGTAATTATTTAAACGATAACACACTCTGGGAATGAATCGATCGCTCCAGGCTCTTTCAAATAGACTTTAATATTGTAAACATGTTTCTTTGTCAAATAATGCTAAAAAAATTGCCCCGCTGAGTTTCTTTCGCCAGTTCTTCTCAGGTTAGGCTTTTTCCGAACCGGTAGTAGTATTTTGACAATAAATAAGTAAGTGTAGTGCTTCTATATTGAATAAAAGAAAGTATAGTCCGCCAATTTGTAATTGGGCTGTGCGGTGGACTATGCCCTAATACCGTCTGTACAGATGAGGCCTTTGCTCAGCAGTGGGACATAATTATATACGCTGTTTCTTTACCACGTTAATGGTAAGTTTATAAGCAAACGTTTCAAACGAGATTGCGTTGGTTAACCAATAAGAGGTGCAATTAAACGAACGGTATGGACCCTAAAACAAGCACATTTTCGCTTCGACGCGACGGTGTCACGCACCGGCCGTTAGCACGTGACTCCGGGCGATATTTGGGCCAAGGCCCATCGGTGTGGCGTAGATGGATATCAAAAAGTTACTTTCCGCGGGGCCGAGGGGTCTACTTTATGGTTACAAGTGAGGTTGGAAAATGGGTCGCCCCAGATCAAGATACGGCTAGCTTCCGGTGTTGTTACTAAAAAGAATGCTGCATTGTTTGGGGCCTCCTTTAGGATTGGTTTTCTGGATAAACTGACTACGGCCTTGAGTATACAATCAAAATTGTATAAAATTCTCCTTTTATTTATAAGACTGCACGGCCTTAGGTACTCCCATAGCATGCTATAGCGCGGTTTGGGCCTGACAAACGTTGGGCTCTAAAAATTGTTGTATTTGGGTGTTGCGGCTGTATCAACCACTGCTGGCCTTCCGAGGCCTTTACAGTACCACTTCCCACCGGGCTTGAGGTGGGTGTTGAGGTCGCCTAGGCTGTATGTATTGCTGTCAATCTGACATGACTATACTTATAATAAATACAAAAGGAAATGACTAATTGATTACTTCTTAGTTAAAGAAAACTTAAATATAATTAAGTAGTGTCATCTATGAGTATGACACTCTAAAAGTTAACACAAAACACAAACAAAAACATTTTCAATTAAATGAAAACTTCAATGCACGATGCACAGGTGTGCAATAAGGCAGACCGAGTAACTACAATTGGGTCTGTGGCGTTCCCACTGATTTAATTCCCAAACTATTATAGATGGACTTATACACAATTTTAGCGGTAAAGAAATAAGAAAAAGCCTTAAAAAGTTAAGAATTCATTTAAAAATTACGAAATAATTTTAAGAAAAACAAACAATCATGATTTCTCTCCAAACTTCTTCTTTCTCTCTTTATGGATTTTCTCTAAAGAATTCTTCCAATGTAAAGTCAGTCATGGGTGTGACAAGAGAATAATTTTTGTAGAGGAGGAGAAAAAAAGGTTTTTTTGTAGAAAAAAAAAATTCTCTCGAATCAAATAATGCCGATGACACATTACTGCAATGTTCGAAACCACCAGTCTGTCAAACAGCCGAGAAACGAGGGCCATTGTAAAATAGATCTTATACGCCGCGCAAAGAATTTAGTTTCATTTGGTGGTTGCGGCACGCTCACTCCAGGGCGATTATCAACCATAGTGCCGAAGAAATAAGGTCCGCGAAGATATTGTCGATATCGATCAATGCGGAAGCTCCGCAGATATCTTAAGTAGCTGGGCGCATTAAGAATGGCGTGTTTGATAGGAATTGCAATTATTTACATTTGATGCTGCTGTTCGGCTGGTACTTGGAGAACGTTTAACATAGTAGTTGTGCCCGCGGCTCCGCTTGCGTTTACTTCGGGATTAATGAGACGTTTGTTTATGTGAAGGTGGTTAACGGGAAATGCGTGTGATATGCGATGATGACCAGATGACGGTAAGTCATCAACACCTCAGAGCATCAATATAAGAAAGGCAAATGTATTTGATTTATACCACGTATAAAAGTTTAAGTATATCTAGTTTTACACACCTACCTATCATAATATAATGATTTGTTTCTCATCAATGTCAGGGTTTGCTGGAAGAAAACTCTTTTTAGGGTTAAGCTCGCCTTTGTACATTTTTTTTGTAACTTTGTTTTCACTTTTACTCTGTGTACAATAAAGAATAAAGAAAGAAAGTTTACATTAATCGTAATTAATATAAACTTAATGTAAAGTATACATTAAGTTTAATTACGTAGAGATTCGCGACGGCGGTATATACAACGGTTACCTCAACCGGGGCACATTTTTTTGATGTTGGCAACCCATCTGGTCATCGTCAGGTGTCTATGGGCAGTAATAACTTAACATCAAGTCAACCACCTGCTCGTTGTTACAGGATAAAAATCACCATAAAGCTAAGATAAGTATTCACCCATGAATATTCTCAGTACCAAGATAGTTACTACTACATTGCTGCCCTTCAAAAACTGTTCATAGTAACATAATGGCATGAAGAATATATCTTTCGATACATTTGTAACGTCACCTCGATTCCGAGGAATTGTTAAACGTGTGCATTCTCTCGCCCGCGCTCCAAGTCGCGTCTCCGCCTATACGACGTGAATATGTATGCACCGTTGTCTCCGAATGTGGGTCAGCTGGGAGCACAAAGTGCGGGAGCGCGGTCGTTTGCGTCGCAGCCCTGTGTTCGCGTTGGCCGAGGGCCAGATACGTTCGGCATGTGTCGAGATGTGCGCATTGACGCGGGGCATTTATGTGTACCGCCACGGTTTATTTACTTGTCGATGAATGAAATACTTGTAAGAACCTGATTTCCTTTCGCGAGTACATTAATACATCTTGGAAGAGTGCTCGGTAGTTACCAACCAAGTATGATGGGAAGTTAGGATGTATTCTTTATGTTTCCATTAGGCACGCGCCTAACTCTTGTCTGCTCGGAATGGAATAATATACAGTAAATATTACAGCAAAGGAGTTCATTAGGAGTAGATTTTTGTTGCAAGTTGTTATATACCTTTGTTGTGAGATTTACTATTAGTTGGTAACTGAGCGTTATTATTTATCAGAGATAGTTTCTTTTTGAAGATGAAAGCCATTACAAGGAATGAAGGCAAACGTCTTCTTTCGATTGCTAGGGTGTCCCACTTGTCTTCTAGTTAGGACACTGAGTTGAACTATTCGTGTTAGATTCCTGTTGCACGAATGGACAGGTCCTCCCGGGCAGTACAAAGACACTGAAGACCAGCGTGGAGTGAAATACTTATTATAGTTTTGCTTTTAACTGGTTTGGAGATAACCGCGGCCCGCACTTATAAAAGTTGCCAACGCATTCGCTAACCATAGGTGTTGCAAATGCAATGACTAAAGACCAGGTAGCTCTTGAATCAAGGTTACCCTCATAGTAACAGTGCTTAGCAATTCTTTATAATCAACCGACGAATTAAGAAGAATAATTTAAATGCTTCGTGGCAATCTGTGGGGGAGGAGAAGGTTTAGCAATGACCCTAAAAGTCAGAAATGATGATGATGATGATGACTTTCAATGACACGTATATCTTAAGTAACTTAGGTATAAGAAATATTTAAATGTAGTTTACTTCCACAAGTTGTGTACTATACGGAAATATAAGTTGAGTTTAATTTATTGTCGCAATAAGCATTTCTAATACCTGTCATTAACTTGGAATTTTCAAATAAAATTACTTTATTTAAATAAAATAGTTAATCCAATTTTAAATCAATGAGCCATTGCGTTGTCGAAACATTTTTAGAATCGGTTCAATACTTTATTAAGTTTATTACTTTACAATATAGATGGCGCTATTTGTATGAGATATTATAGAGTAGTCAATAATGAGGTTATAACGACAAAATGAACAACAAATCCGGCCGAATAGTATCATTACAATTCTCGCTAGAGAAATTCTATTCAGAAAACAAATCCCAGCTCAACTATGTTTCAGACAGTTAAGAACACTGGCGGTTGTAGAAAACGAAATATCGTTTGCAATAGTTTCGAATCGCTCCATATATCTAGCGGAGCGGTCTTTGTCTGTTTGGAGAGATATATGGGAGCTGTTAAAACTATGCACACACGTGTTATT